AGACCAGAGAGGAAGTTCCACTTCTAGTCCTGGGAGACGAAGAACTGTAGAGTAGAAGGGTGTTGGGGGTCCAGTGTTGTGGCACAGCCGGTTAAGCCGCTGCCTGTGACGCAGGCATCCAATATGAATGCTGGTTCAACACCCAGCTGCTCCACTTCTGATCCAGCTCTCTGCTATTGCGCCTGGGAAGGCAGCGGAAGATGGCTCAATTACTCGGGCCCCTGCCACCCATGAGGGAAACCCAGACGAAGTTTCAGGCTCCTGGCCCAGCCCCGGCTGTTGTGGCCATTTGGGTGGGGAGTGAATCAGCAGAGGGAAGATGTCTCTCTGTAACTCTGCCTTTGAAATAAATAAATCTTTAAAATAAATAAAAAAGGAGGAGGAGGAGAAGGGTGTTCTCATGATGCCTGTTGCCTGGACATGACCGTTCCCACACGGGGTGAGAGGACATAGCAGAGAATGAGGAGGCTACCTTGCCTGAGCAGGGCCAGAGACAGCGTGGCCCGGACCAGCTGGGGAAGGCACCTGCATTTCCGAGAGACCCTGGTGGAGGGGCTCATCACCGCGGGGAGTACTGGGGCCATGATCAGCCTCCTGGGGGACTTACAGCAGGAGCATTGTCTGTGATGGGAAAGTGGGGCTCAAGTTATACCATCTGGGATCCTCAGTGGCAAGCACGGTGCGGAAAGAGGTGAAGTCCCAGAGGGGCCTCAACCCAGAGACCCCAGAGGCCCCTGTTCCAGGCAGGGTGGTGGAAGGTGGAACTCACTGATAGGGGAGGGGAAGGAGGGTCACGTGCGAGGGGGTGGATTTTACAAGGCAGCCGAACTCTGAAGTCACTGCTAGTCCACAGAGCCAGACAGTCGGACAGACAGAGCCAGGTCCTCCTAAAATGACAGTGCCACAGAACAACATGGATGAAGAATTTTTAAATGCTGGGTAAAAATGGGATCTCCAGAGCAAAAAGAGGCAAAATGCATACATGTTTTGTAAAAATTAAATTCGGATTGTTGTACCCTCCACCACAGAGAATAAATTCCTATTGTGCTGTGCCCAGGGTTCAAATCACCCTACAACCTGTGCCCAGCAGCGACCTCCAGCCCCGAGACGAGAAGGAGCAAGGGCGTCATCTTGGGATGAGGGTAGACACATGGGGAGAAGTTCCCACCAGAACAGGGTGTTTGTCCCTCTTGGCACTGAACAGTTTTTTTTTTTTTTTAAGATTTATTTTATTGATTTGAAAGGCAGAGTTACACAGAGAGAGCAATAAACTTCTCCCCATAAAAGGTGACATCCAGCTGCGTTCACCCCTGGCAAGGAGACGGGCACTTCGCTCTCGACAGATCGTCTTAAACTTTGCTTCCAAGCCTACTCCCCTGCCAACCTCGTTGTTCACTTGCCTGAGTCTAGAAAGCTGCCCGGACACCTCTGACGCCCGTAGGATGCCCTCAAAGTTGTCCTCCCCTTGCTGCCGTCTCTCTCGAGACGCCATGCGTGAGCCGAGGCCCCTCTCCCCTGGACTTCTGCTCATACCCTCCACTCTGGTACCTTCCTCCACCTGCCCGCCCCTTCCTCCACACCACAGGCCACGAGTCACCACGGGATGATGGGAAATAGGAATAGGAATAGGAAACAGGACAAGCCCCATTGCAGGATCTGTCTGCTCTGCACACCTTTCAGAACCTGGGTGCAAGAGACTCCTGCACTCAAGTGATGCCTCCCAATATTTGTTCTTGAGTTTTCCATGGCGTCCAGGGCCAGGCCAGTGCCCAGCTAGATGACCACAAGGAAGAGAAGCCAAGCACGTTTGCTTCCGCCCTAGGCTGTGGAGCGGAGAGAAGGGAAGGGCAGTGCAGAAACAAGAGACCCAGAAGGCCCCAGAGACCAGGCTAAGGAGCACGAATTTTCGAAGTCACTTAGCAGGTGCTTCTGCTCAGGAGAGGAAGAGGCAGCTGACATGATGAATGACTCTGGGGGAACTGCAGGGCTCAAAGCCACTCACGTCTCTCGGCTGGTGACAAGGGGACAGGGCTTATGATGAGAAGGGCACCCTGTTACCTGACCAAGGCCTGGGCCCTCTTTCTGAGTGAGGGGCTAGATGGTGGTAGTGAGCAGGCCTCAGTGCAGCTAAAGGTTCTGCAACCATTTTTCATGCCAAGAAGAAGCGAGGTTTGGAAATCGGAGCTGAGAGATGACATTTGCTTTCCCTGGGTGTTGGTTCAACCTCCATTCAGCAACTACGCAGGACGTGGGGTCAAGTTGGGCGTGGAATTCGATGCTAAGACACGTCTGGCCGTGGAGGAGTCCAGCGCAGCCAGGCCTGCTGGCAAGACGAGCGCAGAGCAGCACCATGGGCACGGTGGGCAACTGACAGTCTGCGGCTGATCGCGGACTTCCCAGAGAACATGATCTTGGGGGTCGAGAGGGATGAACAAGCAGCGAACCCCTGAGAACATACCCCAGCCGCAGCATTCGCAGGGTCCTGCCGAGCCAGCAGCCGGTGAACCCTGGCTATGATGAGAGAGGATTGCTAAGCCTGCTCTCTGTATTCCCACTCCAAGGCATTTTTGCTTGACTCACAAATGACCATGCGGCTCTCCTATTGTCTGATAACCAAAGAAAGGCTTTAAGGAAAAAGGCTGGTTCTTGCAGTGCATAACGAGGCTCTGTGGTGGATGGGACCCCTAAGAACCTAAGTCCCTAGAGCATGAAGTTCCAACATTAAGCAACTCCTTTGCGAACTTGAGAATGCTGAATTTTCTCTCAAGGTCCTTTTCCTGGCTGCTGGGGCGTCTGAAGGGGACATTCTCAGAAATCCGGGCTGGTAATGATTTTCCTGCTGAGGTGTCATCAGAAATGGATGGTCCGCTCCACGCTGCACCTGTCTCCCTGGCTGCCCTCCTTAATCACCAGGAAGCAGAGCTGACAGGGCCTGGGGCTTCTCCATCGCAGAGATCGAGAATCATCTGCATGGACCAGAAGTGTGCTCCAGCCGCAGTGGGAGCCCTCCAGGGTCTGTGGTCTGCGGACAGAGACACAACAAGGAAGCCTTACAAGGCGGGGGCAAGAGAGGCTTGGAAGGGGGCCGGGAGAGCCCCTATCTGGGGATGGAGAGGGCTGCAATGGGGACAGGAGAAGTGGGGACCCACTGCTCTGACTCCCTGCACCTGCTGGGCTCCACAAGCTGCTTTGTTTCTCACCTTAGCCCTGGGAGGCAGCACCGATCGTCCTGATGGATGCTGCAGAGACAGGAGTGGACTGCAAGGGTCACTCATCCGAGATCACTCTGGGCCTGTCCAGCTGCTCTAATGAAACACTGGGGACGGGGTGGCCTCTGCACAGCAGGAGTCCTGCTGCTCACAGCTCAGGAGGCTGGGAGCCCAAGGTCGAGCCGCCCACAGATTCGGTATCTGGTGATGTTCTACTTCTGGTCCACCCACGGTGCCCCGTGGCTGTGTCCTCCAGTGCTGGAGGGGAGGAGACTGTCTCTGGGGTCTATTTTATGAGGGCACTAATCCCACCCGTGAAGGCTCCACCCTCATGATCCCATCACCCCCCAAAGGCCCCACCTCCCAACAACCAGAAGCAAGGGGGGCAGGATGTCAACACGAATTTGGGGGGACAATTGGACCATTCAGATGACAGCAGTGTTCAACCCAAATGTCTCCTGCCTTCACTGTGAGGCAGCATGCAGAGCCACCTTGCACTAAGGGAGCCCTCCTGGGAATTGTGAGCAGCTTTGAAATTTTTTTTTTTAAATTTATTTATTTATTTGAAAGTTACACAGAGAGAGAGAGACTGAGAGAAAAAGAGAGAGAGAGAGGTCTTCCATCCACTGGCTACTCCCCTATTGGTCACAATGGCTGGTATTGCACTGATCTGAAACCAGGATCCAGGAGCTTCTTCCAGGTCTCCCACGTGGGTGCAGGGGCCCAAGGACTTGGGCCATCTTCCACTGCTTTCCCAGGCCATAGCAGACAGCTGGATCAGAAGTGGAGCAGCCGGGATTCAAACCGGTGCCCATATGGGATGCCGGCACTACGGGCAATGGCATTACCAGCCACGCCACAGTTCCAGCCCCTTGAAAATTCTTGTCACAGGCTTTTAACTGCACCCATTAACTCAGGACCCCTAGGCGCCAAACCCCAACTTCGACTGCTAGGGGATCACACAGAAATCACTGCAAAGTACTCAGAACACCTGCCGTTTCCTGTGGTGGCTAATCACATGTTGAAGTGGCTCTGTCCCTGGACCTCAGATTTTCTCAGCCACGAGGCTCTGTTTGCAGGGTTCTATATGGCAAGGAACTTTATTAATACGATGTCTGGAGAAGAGAGGCACGTGTGTCCCTGGGAGTTTTCCTGCATCAGGGAACAGATTGGAGGAAATCTGGCCCCCATCTACTCCTGAAAGTAAAGTTTTATGGGAACACAGCCGTGGGGACGGCTGCCCCGGCACAAAGCCAAGGGGTCGCCTGCCCTTTGCAAAAGTGCGTTGCTGACCGCTGCACCAAGTCAAGCTGGGATTGCCCATGTGAGGGCTGCGCAAGCTCCATCCACATAAACGCACTCCTGCGAGCTGTCAGGTCGTCCCCCAACCACAGAATGCTGCCTTCTCTGACCTGGGAGCTGGGACTCCCGACCACACAAGGCCTCTCCTCCCAGCCGCCCCCCGGACCAACATGGCTGCCTGCTCCCTTTCCTGGAAAGCAAGCCTGTCTCGCCCTCTGGGTCTCGCCAGTGCACTCAGCAGAGGTGCGGCCTCTGCTGGGAGTTGGCCGAGCCTCCCTCTGAGCCGCCTCTGACTCTGCAGGAGCCCTGAGTGCTCAGACATCTTTCGCTGCCGTTTGCTGTCAGGGTGTACCCATCGCAGGCCAACAGGGAGGCACCCAACAAACAGGTGGAGGCCGGGCCACCCAGCCCCAGGCTCTGCGGGTGGTTCCTGGGCTGCCACAAGCAGCTTGGCTCGGCCCTGACTTTCCCTCTTGTCTCTGCCTCCAGCCGGTCAGCCAGGGAGCAGCATGCCTTACCTCCACCGAGACTCAGGGCCCCAGGCACAGCCGACTCCCAAAGATGCCAGGATCACCCACTCGTCGGGCCAGAGCTTCGAGCAGCTGAGGCAGGGGTGCCTGAGGAAGGGTGCCCTGTTTGAGGACCCAGACTTCCCTGCCAACAACTCCTCTCTATTCTACAGCGAGAGGCCCCCAGTCCCCTTCGAGTGGAAACGGCCTGGGGTGAGTGGGGCGAGCAGGGCTGGGGGTGTGGGGGTGGCCAAGCTGGGAGAGGGCAGCCACGCTCATCTCTACCTGGGCTCCCTGGGGAAGCTGGGCAGTGTGAAGGCAGGAAATGCTGTGCAGGACTGGGATGCCCTGGGTAGGGGGGTGCTCAGAGGCGTGGCAGCCCCCTCCTCCCCTGCTCTGAGCTCTCAGTGTCACCAAGGCCTGGGCCCTGGGGTCAAGGAGGGTCTTGTCAGTAGGCAGTGAGCAAGAGTCAAAGCTTCATCCGGAGGGACAAGTGTCAGGTCCTGCCCGCATGCAAGGGCACAGGGATGCCAGAGCGGGCGGGAGGCAGTTCAGAAACTGTCCCTGCCTGCCCTGCGGGTGACAGCAAGGGCTAATGCATGCGAGGGCTCTGTGGTTTCTGGCCCCGAGCCAGCTGGCTCAACGAGTTCTCAGCGAACATTCGATGAACGGAACACAGTGAGGCAGAGGTGTTCTCCCCAGAACCTACGTGCCTGTTCTCGGAGGGGAAACAGGGTCAGTGCTGCCCCACCCCCACCCCCAGCCTGGGGGAGATGGGTGCCAAGAGGCACCAGCTGGTGCTTGGAACGCAATGTCAATATTTGTTGCATTAGTCAGGGCCCTGCCTCTGACCTGGAGCTGGCTAGCTGCCATTTCCTCCTGGTGGGTGCTGCCCAGGACGTGGCTTCCTTGGGGCCAGGTTGCTTATGTGTGAGGAAGGGCAGAGCAAAGGGGCTGGACCTCATGTGAGACCCTCAGTGCTGGGCCACTCTGGCCTCGTCACAGCCTGGGCCTCCTCACCTGTATGATGGGAACAGCAGTGACTAATGTAGATGGATGTCCAGCACACACAGTGTTCACCAGATGACAGGTGTTGTCATTGTAACCACTGCTGCTAAGGTCATTGTCAGCTCTCAGTGACATCTTACTCACGAGGAGCAAAGAACTCACCATAACTGCCTCTTCTCTACCTCCCAACATGAAGAGAGTGTTGATATTTAAATGTATAACACATTTACTTGGAAAAGTGCACACGAGAAAGCCTCTGGACTCTTTAGGAGCAGGGCCAAAGTATAGGTGAGCTGTTCTTTGTGAAGTGGTAAGGTCTGTGTTGCTAGTCCCTGTTGTGAGCAGTGTGTGTGTGTGGGGGGGGGGGTGTCTCTGTGCATGCACACGTGCAGGTACATCTATTTGACCAAGTGTGGGCTTGTGTGTGACTGGGAGGGAACGTGTGTGTGAAGTGTGCATGTGTGCACCTGTGTGTATGTGTGTGCACACTTACATGTATAGGCAAACATTCCCCCCACAGGGTGAGGGAAGAAACCTTAAGTCCCAACACAGGGCCTTGCACGTGGGTGAAATTGTCATAGCATCCAGTGGTCCTAGCAGAGCTCAGGAGAAAACTCCTGGCCGCCTCCTCACAACAATGGAAAGCTAAACTCAGTTTTGATCCTGTGCACTAGGCCAAGAGCAGTGTGAGGTCAGTGTGAGGTCAGGATTAACAGACCTTGCTCTGCTCAATAAGAAAAAGGACATTTCGGGGCTGGTGCTGTGGTGCAATGGGTAAAGTCACCACCTGCGCCACCGGCATCCTATATGGGCGCTGGTTCAATTCCCAGCTGTTCCACTTCCAATCCAGGTCTCTGCTAATGTGCCTAGGAAAGCAACAGAGAATGGCCCAAGTCCCTGGGCCTCTGCACCCACATGGGAGACCTGGAGGCGGCTCCTGGCTCCTAGCTTCAATTTGGCCTGACCCCAGTCATTGCAAACATTTGGGGGGGTGAACCAGCAGATGGAAGTTCACTCTCTCTCCCTCTCTCTGTAGCTCTGCCTTTCAAATAAATATATACACAAATCTTATTTAAAAAATAAAAGAAAGAAGACATTTCCAAAATCAAAAGCAGATGTTCCAGTGCACACGGTGGTGACCCCCAGGAGACACTGCCCATAGCCCTTAGGTCTTCTTGGGCTTGATTCCAGCCCTCAGCCCACAAACAGGCAGTGCAGGGGTGCTGCAGGCTGGGGGGCACTGCAGGCTGCTGGGTGCTTTCAGAGAAGGGAGAGAAGCCCACAGACAGCTCTGGGAAGCGGATTCCCTCTGTGCCTGCTGGGCTAAAGCCCTTGGCCTGGTCCCCTGCAGCCATGGGCAGCTTTCTCTGTTCACCCCAGGGTACCATACAAATACCAGGGTTCTCTATGGCTGCTTGGTATGAGAAGGCTAGAAGTACCTACCTAGGAAGCCGGGTCGGGGAGCATCATTGAGGAAGATGACCCACTAGGGCAGCCGACCTCAAACTCTTGGCTTCTATTTTGAATGGAGGATCAGTTTGGTCCATACAACTCCTGGATACAGCACAGTGAACTTCGGGCTGATCCCGCGAGGCCCGCGTGCTGTCTGCGTTCCTCAACCAGAAGCACCAGAGGCAAGTTTCGGTGAACTTGTCCGCTTTATTAATGACCAAGCACACCTTTTAAAAGGCAGGCAGAGGGGGCATAACTAATTCAGGGCTGATACTAATTCTATAGGATGAAGCTGATATTGGTGCCACTATGCTTCAATCAGCTTATAGGTCAGGTAGGCTAGTAGCTTTCCAGGCGGGCCTGGGCCACACCCGGGAGCAGTTTACCTTATTGGCAGAGGCAGGGGGGTGGGGTAGGGGACATGCCTGGGGCTCCCGCCACCTGCCAGCAGTCAAGCTAACTACATGAGCTAGGCATGCAATCTCACGGAATCACCCCCAGTGATCCTTTGCGTGAAGGTTCAGGAAAGGACCCTGGGGTGCTCCCGGTCAGTCCCGCCTCTGCTCTCACCCGAGCCTGCGTGCTCGCTCTCCTAGCCGCTCTGCAGAGATCAACTCGCTCTTCCTGGAAATTGCCTGGGACTTTCCCCAACCCCAAAGAGGGCTCCACTCTTGGGAACCTGCCCCTCCCCCTCCCTTCCTTCTCCCAGCTTAGGCAGTTATGAAAGGCCTTCCTATCTAGATCTGTGCCTGGGGTTCAGTAAATGGGGTCACAGCCCCCACTAGAGTGCATCAAGCCTCCATCAAGAGCAGTCAACCGTTTTCACGCCGAGGGCTGTACATCGGATTTCTGTGTTTGTCCTTGAACTTCCCCTCAATCATCTCCCATCCTGTAGGAGGTGGTAGAAGAAAAAAAGAAAAACTTCCAAAAGGAAAATATACCAGAGTCACTTGGATACTAGAATTTTTTTTAAAGATTTATTTATTTATTTGAGAGGCAGAGTTACAGACAGAGTGGTCTTCCATTTGCTGGTTCATTCCCCAAATGGCCACAATGACCGGGGGCTGGGCCAGGCCAAAGGCAGGAGCCAGGAGATTCTTCTGGGTCTCCCACGTGGGTGCAGGGGCCCAAGGACGTGGGCCATCCTCTACTGCTTTCCCAGGCCACTAGTAGACAGCCGGGACTCAAACCGGCACCCACATGGGATGCCAGCGCCACAGGCAGAGGCTTAACCTATTACACCACAGCACTGGTGGAATTTTTTTAAATCTTAATTGTGATTTATTTTTATTTTTAAAAGCAGTTCCATACTTAAAAAAAAAAAAAAACTAATTTGAACCTTTAGAATGACTTAATTATCAAGGTTACAAAATAAGGCCCAAAGAGCTCAGGGAGCTTTCTGGAGTCTTGTGTTAGTTAAGTCCTGAGGCCTCCAGGGGGATGGCTGACGGGAGAGAGATGTTTGCAAGCCCCAGCATTTGGGTCAGGCATTGTTAAGCGCCGTGCTGCCCCGCCTGGCACCTGGGTACGCTGCCGCCAGTTCCCCAGTACTCTCCTAGCCTGCCAAAGCTATTCCCACATGATTCAGCCCACCTGCTGAGAAATACCCATTGCCTCTTCCAGTCTCAACCAGGCCCAGCCAGCCCCTCCACACCCTGGCTCAGCTCAGCATTGAAGCAGAGGAGCCCCTACCTGGTGTGCAGCCTGTGCAACCTCCCCATAGGCGGGTGCTCCACCCACAGCATCCCACACTCATGCTCCATTGCTCTGCCTGGCAAACTTCCACTCATCCTCACTGGTCTGCGCTATGAGGCCTGCTGTTCCCCAAGCACCCTTGGTTGTCTTTCGTTCAAGGTTTACGCTGTTTTCATACAACCCTCTGAGCAGCTGCCTGGGTTCCTCCTTAGAGCCCAACCCCTCTGTAAGGCCAGGGGCTGCTTTATCCTGTTCCCCACCACATCCTCAGATTCACACACCGGGGACCCTTTCTTTTTTGTAAAGTTTGATGATTGATTGATTGATTGAAATAGTGTGACAGAAAGAGCAGGAGAGACTGGGGGAAAGGGAAAAAGCGATCTTCCATCTACTGGTTCACTCCCAATTGCTCATGACAGCCGGCACCGGGCCAGGCCAGAGCCAGAAGCTAGGAACTGCAGCCAGGTCTCCTACAAGGGTGACAGGGACTCAGATACTTGAGTCACCATCTGCTGCCTCCCAAGCACATTAGCAGGAAGCTGGATCTGCAGAGGAGTAGCCAGAACTGGAACCCGAAACTGTGATGTGGGATGCAGGCCTCCCAAGCGGCGGCTTAACCACTGAGCTAGCAGTTACCGAGGCCTGGACAAATGTCGGTTACCAGGATCATCTCAATGCACCCACCCTAGAAGCCAGGGATCGTTAAGATCCCTCGGAGCCTTCGTTGGCAAACCTTTGCACTCGTTGGCAAACCGCCTCCTGATTGGGGAAGAGCACCTCTCGTGGGCCCTGAGAGCAGAGTGGTGGTGAGCAGAGCTGGTAGTGATAAAGCCCTCCGCCTCATTCCTGCAGGTAACAAAGGGGTCCCGCCCACCTAAGAACACCGCTTCTTCCAGTTAGGTGGTCGTCTTCCTGGACTCTGAGGCTTACCAGGGCTGCACTAAGGGCCACACTTGTGGAGGGAAGGGACGCGAACAGGATTGGGTTATGTGGTCCCATGAAGGTCTCAGCCAAGCCCTGGGCACTTTGGAGCTGGGCTGCTGCCTCCGAGTTGTCCCTGCTGTGTTTGGCCCCATTGATCAGGCCTCGGCTGCAGATACCCCTGAGATGTGTGGCCTTGGAGAGGCTCACTTCCCCCCTAGCCAACCCGAAAGAGGCTACTGCTCCCAGCAGTGGGAGCAAGCCCTCCTCCCTGAAAGGAGCAGCACCCCACGGTGGCCGCCACAGAGCCTCAGATGTCCCTTCCATAAAATGGGGACTGTGATGCGACTTGCCTTATCCAGTCACTGAGAGAATCAGCGGTGTGACTGCGTGTCGAGCACGTAGAAGAGCGTTTGGCACATAAATAATAAGCGTTAGTCATGGTCATTTCCACGGTTGTGGTCGCAGCCTCACGCCCGTGGCGCCCACTCTGGGAGGGCCCCAGCCTCGCAGTCTGCACGGACATCATTTGGCTGCCATGCACCTCTGTCGCTTACAATGTCGAAGTTGGCATTTCAAGGTAAAAGCTTGGCACAGGCCAAGGCCCCAGAGACCAGCCCAGGACTTCCAGAACCTCAGGCTGTCGTGTCTACTGCAACCTTCCTCTCAGCTCTAGCCCAAATGCTGGGGGAGGCCTGGACCCCAGGCTGGGGCCCAGACACTCAGGCCCCTCCACCAGCCCTCCCCGCTCTGCCCAGCCTTCTTTTTTTTTACAGGCAGAGTGGACAGTGAGAGAGAGAGAGAGAGAGAGAGAGAGAGAGAGAGAAAGGTCTTCCTTTTCCGTTGGTTCACCCTCCAATGGCCGCCGCGGCCGGCGCACCGATCTGATTCAAAGCCAGGAGCCAGGTGCTTCTTCTGGTCTCCCATGGGGTGCAGGGCCCAAGCACTTGGGCCATCCTCCACTGCACTCCCTGGCCACAGCAGAGAGCTGGCCTGGAAGAGGGGCAACCGGGACTAGAACCTGGTCTGCCGGCACCGCTAGGCAGAGGACTAGCCTATTGAGCCATGGCGCCGGCTCTTCTTCTGGTCTCCCATGGGGTGCAGGGCCCAAGCACTTGGGCCATCCTCCCCTGCACTCCCTGGCACCTGGAAGGGGGGCAACCGGGACTAGAACCTGGTCTGCTGGCACCGCTAGGCGGAGGATTAGCCTATTGAGCCACGGCGCCGGCTCTGCCCAGCCTTCTTATCTCTTCCTCATGGGCTCCACCCGGGGCTGGACAATCAATCCCTTATTTACCTTCACTCAGCTCTGCTGCTCGCTGCCCTTCCTGTGAATTCATCCTCAGAATCCGGCCTGCCCTTCCCTTTGTCTGCATCTCAGATTGTCCCCTGCGTCTGGTCCTCACGCCCAGGGACAGAGAGGGAGCTGATGGCTTTGCATGGTCTCTTGTAGACTTCTGGAGAATCAGGAGCAAAGGGGCTGGGGCGGGGGCAATTCTTGCAGTGCGGAGGTGCAGGGTCTCTGGCAGGGGGGCAGGTGGCCGCAGGGAAATCGTAAGTACTGCCGGCCTCCTTTCCGGACGCCTCTGTGCTGAGGTGCTGGCTGCACCCTGCTCGGCATTGGCACGGAGCACAGAGCTCGGCAAGTGCAGAGCTGCCGTGGGGTGTGGGGCAGGGCCGCCCTCCCCGGCACCACCTGCTTGTCAAACACAGCTGTGCCTGGTGGAGCACAAAGCCACAGGCCATCAGAGGGTGCTGGGCAGCCAGACTTGCTCTCAGGGCAGGGAGCACCCCGAGGAGGTGACCTGGGGATGGGACGGGGATGGGAGGCGGTCAGACCTGGCCTGGAAGAAGGCCAGTGGGTGTGGCCTGTACCAGGCCTTTTATAAGAGAAGGAGACCAGATAAGAGACACACATGCGCTCCCTGTTCTGTTGCCAGGTCTTTACCGGGCTTTCCCGGAGCCCCCTTGGGACTCTGCCAGAAAGAAGACTAACCCTCACCCTTGGGTCTCCAGAGCCAGAAGCCCAAGTAACCCTTTTTCCTTTATGACGGGCCCAGGCTGTGCTCCTGCGTCATTAGCAACAGAAAACAAAGATGGGGGATGGGCAGCTTGCAGTCAAGGAGATTCCCAGGGCAGAGAGCTGAGCTGTGCGGTCCCGGTGCTCGGCCTCATCCAGGATGCACCAGCCTGGCGGTGACAGACCCTGGGCCACGTGGCCCTCCCAGGGCAGGTGCTGGCCATGTTGCTAATGACACAGGGGCACAGCCTGTGCCCACAGCCTACACGTGCCCGCTCTCGGCATGCCTCACAGTGGGCCCCGACACCCACAAGGGTTCTGCAGGGGACAAAGCACATTCAAACCACAGCACTCCTTGTGACTCTTTGAGACCAGAGAAGATGTGAAGTCCTGGGAAGCTTGAGGGAGGCAGATCAGTGCACAGGGGCTCAGGGGCTCAGGGGAGGCGGAGCAGCACGAGCTCTTCCACCAGACAAACCCAGGAGAGGCTGACGGTGCTCTGCTTCGGGCTGGATGGAGCCTGTGCTGCCTGCCAGGCCTGTCATCTAGTCTCACGGTTCGCTGCCTCCTCTCTCTGCACCCTCACACAGAGAGAGAGAGGCAATGCACACACTCATGCACATGCACACACACAGATGCACACACATGCACACACAGACATACACATGCACACACACATGCACACATAGAAACATACACATGCACACACAGAGACATACACATGCGCACACACACAGACATACACACTCCTTTGCTGGGGTCTCTGCTAGCTGTTGGCTTCCCTAGAGGCCTCCCCAGCCACTCCAGTGAATGCAGCCCCACCCTACCCTCACTTCCCCTCCCAGGGCTTCCCTTGCTCGTGCTTGGGCTTGGTGTGTCTGCCCCTGGTCTCACGGAAGCTCCACCAGGCAGGTGACTTCCTCTTCTTGGCTCGGTCCATTGCTAGGAATGGAGCCTAAGAACTCGGAATAAATGTGCACTTTTCACATAATCACTTCCCAACACTGTTTGCCTAATGTTTAATACATATCTCTCCATATTATGTGTATATATAATACAGATCATATGAGGGCGCTACAAAAAGCTCTTGGTAAATGGAATCAAAGAACAAATTTATTTTGGTGCAAAAAATTTTGAAATTCATGGTGTAGTTTTTTCATAATATGCATTTTGCATGAGCTTTTTTTGACAACCACCTCATATGCATGGATTTAAAATTTTTTGCACCAAAGCAAGTATATTTTAGTTCTACTTTCCATGAACTATTTTATCATATATATAAAATAATGCACAAATAAAATACATATAATGCACTTCAGTAAAGTTGTATGAGAAATGTGTGCACATCTGTATATATTACATATATGTTTATATATATTATATACTTACCTAAATACATCTCTAAAAAGCTGATTGGGGAGTGAGGATTTGTGTCTAATCCCAGGCACCAGCCTGTAGTGTATGTTCACCTCACCTCATTTTAAGATCACAAAGTTCACGGGTCGGGGAGCTGGGATTTGAACACTCAGCCCCTGCCTCCCAGTCCAGCGCCTGGGTAACAATGGGAACTCTCCGAGTGGGACTGATAGTCTGCTCTGCAGCCAGGCATGGTGGGAGGGGCTGATGGTTAGGAGTCAGGACCTTGTTCTCCCCAGGTTGGGACTGTCAAGAGAAGAGTGCAGGTGGCTGGGGCGCCAAGCGTGGAAACAAAACACACCCAGCCCAGGGGCCACTGGAGTTACACTTTTTTTTAAACAAAATTAATTAATTTATTTGAAAGGCAGATTACAGAGAGGCAGAGGCAGAGAGAGAAAGAGAGAGCTCTTCCATCCACTGGTTCACTCCCCAAATGGCCACAACACCTGGAGCTGGGCCAATCTGAAGCCAGGAGCCAGGAGCTTCTTCTGTGTCTCCCACACGGGTATAGGGGCCCAAGCACTTGGGCCATCTTCTACTACTTTCCCAGGCCATAGCTGGATTGGAAACGGAGCAGCCAGAACTTGAACCAGCGCCCATATGGGATGCTGGCACTGCAGGGAGTGGCTCTACCCACTACACCACAGTGCCAGCCCCTAGAGTAACACTCTTTGTTCTTCCAGGAAATCGTGACAAACCCAGAGTTCATTCTTGGAGGGGCCACCAGGACTGACATCTGCCAGGGGGAGCTTGGTAAGTGTGGGAAGAGGGAGCTGGGATAGAGTGCCGTGGGGCCAGCAGGACAGGGCTGTGAGCTGCCAGTGCAGCGAGCAGCAGGCAGGAGCCCTGGGCTTGGGGGAGCAGCACCGCTACCCCTGCCACTTCCTCCTCCCCGATCTTTGGCCACTCCCCTCTGAATGGAGCCCAGCGGCCCCCAAGCTCCTGACACTCTCATTTCTCTGGGGAGGGGTGTGCCTGTTGCCTGGGGCGCACAGCCTGAGCACAGTGGCACCCCACCCTGTGACTGTAGCTTACGCCTGCACCGTGACCTCGCTCACCTGCCAGGCACTCTCCTAGGTGCGCGCTGCCTCCTTTCTCTTCCCAACAGCTCTCCCAACAAGGAAGTCAAGGCAGTCAGACTTCAAAGCAGACAGCCTCCCGCTGCAGATACCTCATCCCTGACTACTCTCCACGATGCCCCTCAGCTCACACTTGGGCAAATCCTCCACACCCTGAGCTACCCAGTTTCCCTCCACAATTGACCTGAGTGTGCACCCACACCAGCTAAATTGGGCCTTGCATTTCCAGATTTGGTCCAAAATTGGGCCAGGTCTACCTTTATATATCTATCGGGGGAGGGGTGGCAGAGAGACCTCCTTTAACAAATACTGGTGGAATCAGCCAGAGAAAGTGACTTGCACTAGAAGGCGTGCAAGCTTGTGCAGAACCTGGCTCCCCTGCAGCTGAGGGTCTCACTGCGGTCTCCTGGCAGCTCATGCTGGGACCTCCATGCTGACCGACTGAATGAGCCCAAACACAGAATCCAAGACTCACGCACCTACACTGATAATGATTAATTACGTAGGCAGATGGAGCCTTAGCCCATTTGTGCTGCTAGGCCAAAACACCTGAGACGGCAATTTATAAGGAACAGAAGCTCACTTCTCACAGTTCTGAAGGCTGGAAGTCCGGCATCAAGACACGGAGAGGTTCAGCTGGATGAAATCCTGTTCTGATAGAGGGCATAGAAGTCTAAGTGGAAGGCCCAGTGTGGTGAAGGCTGTGTCCCCACGTGACAGAACCGCGCAAAAGCACATTGGGGGCCGGCGCTGCGGCTCAATAGGCTAATCCTCCACCTAGCGGCGCCGGCACACCAGGTTCTAGTCCCGGTCAGGGCACCGGATTCTTTCCCGGTTACCCCTTTTCCAGGCCAGCTCTCTGCTGTGGCCCGGGAAGGCAGTGGAGGATGGCCCAAGTGCTTGGGCCCTGCACCCCATAGGAGACCAGGATAAGCACCTGGCTTCTGGCTTCGGATCAGCGCGGTACACCAGCCGCAGCGCACCAGCCGTGGCAGCCACTGGAGGGTGAACCAACGGCAAAAGGAAGACCTTCCTCTCTGTCTCTCTCACTATCCACTCTGCCTGTCAAAAAAAGCACATTGGGCCCTCCGTGTGAAGCCTCTTGCAAGAAGACCTCACTCCCGTTCCCAAGGGAGGAGCTTCATGATCTGTTCACCTGCTGAAGGCTTCTTAATACTATCACACTGATCATTTAGTCTCAGTCTGGGGGTGGGGGGACATATATAGAGCATGATTGACTGACTGATACATCCATAGGCATGTAGACAGATAACTGGATACAGATGATCAATAGGTAGATAAGGAGGTAGGGGGATGGAGGAGAGCTAGACAGATAGACGGATAACAAAGGAAAGGTGATAGATGCATAGATATGCATAGACACATAGATAGGGTAGACAGATGTGTGGGTGAATGACAGATAGATGTGAAAATACATAAGAAGGTAGGCAAGTAGATCGACGATAGATGTTAAATGATGGATAGATAGATGATGCATAAATAAAATTGCATGTTCTAGAAACAACTGGACTTTTCAAAAATTTGCCCTCAGGCAGTCTTCAGCTGCCAGGTTGAGCCTTCTCCTGGAAATTGTTCCTGTCCCTCCCTACCCCTCCCACTCCTCTACCCCTTCTCACCTGCCCCAGGGCCCCACATTGCCATGTGATAGAAAATCATTGTGCCGATCTGTTTTCCAAAATTCTGGCTTGTGACACGGGTGTGAACTTATATATGGAATTACACTTTATACTTCCCCTTAGTAGAACATTAATTCTAAGTATTATTTTGTTATATCCAAATATAGTACAGAGCAGGTGGACAATTTATGCAAAGTAGCAATGAAATGATCCCCTGTGAGCTCTCACCACCCGCAAGAACAACTAGGTGCCACCAGCACCTCTGCTGTGCTCCTCCGGTCAATGCCCTGAAGCCATCACGCAGCTGGCCACTGGACAAACTGACCTGCAGAGACCAGTTCCTCTTGGGCCCAGCACTGGGTGGCCAGCCCTGCTCGCTGCCCAGGCCCTGCAGGGAGAAAAGCTGTCTTGTTCCTTGGCTGGTTGTTCAATTCTTGTGAATTTTGCAAATAACATGAGCTTCTAAGCCTGCTCCTTGGAGGCTCAGAGCAGTTCCAGCCGAACAGACTTGAGATGGGTTCCCGGGCCGGAAACAGACATGTATTTCCCTCAAGTGGGCACAGCTGTGAGCTGGAGGAGAGGTTGGGGTCATCTCAGGACAGGGTGATTCTATCAGACTCGGCCTGGTCCTGACTGCCCTTGACCTGAACGCAGTGTCTTTGCATCCTGGCCTGGCACAGTGTCTGCCACCAACAAACCACTCACTAACGTTTGTTGAAGCAATGCTCCTGCAAGCCTGCAGTTCGAGTCACTCCCCACTGGCAGCTCCCAAAGCTAACTGGAGGCTTCCACGGACCAGAGGATGCATTAGGACCGAATCCATGTGTTCCTCAGTTATGGCTGGGCTGGCACACACCCTGTGGGAGACACCTTCGAGAGAGCCAGGACAGAGTGACTCAATGGTAGCTCTCCTGACCCTGGCCCCCGTGAGCCTCCCTTGCTTGTGTACAACCAGAAAATGTTCATATTACAGTGTCCCCACGCTGTGGGACCCAGCACTCTGAGGAAACCGAGTGGGACGCTGGTATTGTTTACTGAACACACAGACATCCGGATAAAGCCCAGAGACCCTGTGGGATAAGCGGACAGACCCAGGATCTGCTCACACACCTTCCAGGGGTAGCATCCAGAACGCTGCAAGGCTCTTCCTGGACACTTGGTCCATTCCCAGTGCGGGCAGAGGAACGCTCTGGGAGTCCAGTACCATACAGAGGAGACGCTGCTGGATGCTCGACTCCACTTTTTTTTTTTTTATTTTTTGACAGGCAGAGTGGACAGTGAGAGAGCGAGACAGAGAGAAAGGTCTTCCTTTGCCGTTGGTGCACCCTCCAATGGCCGCTGCGGCCGGCGCAGGAGCCAGGTGCTTCTCCTGGTCTCCCATGGGGTGCAGGGCCCAGGCACTTGGGCCATCCTCCACTGCACTCCTGGGCCACAGCAGAGAGCTAGCCTGGAAGAGGGGCAACCGGGACAGAATCCGGCGCCCCGACCGGGACTAGAACCCGGTGTGCCGGCGCCGCTAGGAGGAGGACGACTCCACTTTTTAGTCTTCCTCCAGAGGTGTAGCCGTGTAGACACAGCTGGGGAGTTCCATAGGTTAATAATTCTGAAAAAGCCGAGATATTTGGAAGCAAATGGAGCTGCCACCAAGCTGCTGCACTCTGTATAACTGCTCTCTGAAACCACCGAGGCCTACACCTGGGGAGTCTGGAGCGTGGGGGCGGGGCGGGGCGGGGCGGAGGAGCATCCACAGCGGGTGTTTCCAAGTGCCCTCCCCAGCTTCTGCTAAGAGCCAGCTGGGGCTGCAGCCATGAAACGCATGCTTGCTCAGCCCACGCGGACACCAACCCTGCAGCCTCGGTTGCCTGGAGGGGAAGTTGCTGGAACGTCATAGACGTGGTGCGTAACGGAGCCTTGTCTGAAACTCACGCAGGCGAAGTCCCCAACACTGCCAAGGAGGCAGCGCTGTCTCTGCTGGGTTGGGCAGGGGAAGAGCAGGCAAGGGAGGCTGAAAGGAAGGCAGAGGCCCTTGCTGGTGTCCTGTCCACTTTCTAAATGCAGAAAAGATGTGGCCACGCCTAGAACATCCACCCACCCACCCACACACACACACACACGCATCTCTCTCTGGCACACAGCTTCCCCATTTGCTGTGAATTAGCACTGAAAACCCTGATTTCTGACTTGCATTTTGCAGGAGACTGCTGGCTACTGGCTGCCATTGCCTCCCTCACACTTAATGAAAAAGCGCTGGCCAGAGTGGTCCCCCAGGAGCAAAGCTTTGGCCCTGGTTATGCTGGGATATTCCATTTCCAGGTAAGGGGGAGTCCTGGGCCTGTGGATTTGCTTCTCTGGGGCCCAGCAAGATACTATGTGCATCTCTGCACTGCCTGGTGGCCCTGAAAGGAAGGCGACCATGCCTGTGTGAGAGGCAGGTTCCTAAGACACACCAAAACCACACGTTGTCAGAGACTAGCATCTAAATGCATCAGAGCACGGACAGCATTGCACAGGAAACCCTCTAGCAGGCACACAGTAAAGCTGCAAGTGACACGTGGCGGCTCCAGAGGTCCGTCCGTCATATTTTTATTTGCAATTTCTTGTGTTCAGTGCATAAATTGCCTAAAAGATTTATACCTCTGGGGGAACTGGATTATTTTTCATAAACAGAGAAGTCCTTCTTACTGATGACATTTAAATTTGAAGATCTTGAATGAGCTGAAAAAATAAAAACTAAGAGAAACACAGAGACAATGTCTCCTGGAATCCGTGTGACCCACTGCTGAGCCACAAGCAGCCAAGGTTTCCCCTTCCGTCTGCTCTCCCCCCACCCCCAGTCCTTATGCAGTACAGCACCCACCAGGTATACATATATATATACCTACATAATTTTTATTTACTAATATTTGTTTAAAATGAGAGAGTCAGAGAGATCTTCCATCTGCTGTTTCACTCCTCAACTGCCCACAACACACAGCAGCAGGGCTGCACTCTGTGAGTCCAGGTCTCTTACATGGGTGGCAGTGTCCCAAGTACTTGAGCCATCACCTGCAGTCCCCCAGGGTAGTCCCCCAGGGTGTGCATTAGCAGAATGTTGGAATCGGAAGTGGAGCCAGGACTCAACCCCAAGCACTCCAGTCTGGGTTGCAGGCATCCCAAGGGGCATCTTTTTTTTTTTTTTTTTTTTTTTTTTTGACAGGCAGAATGGACAATGAGAGGGAGATAGACAGAAAGGTCTTCCTTTACTGTTGGTTCACCCTCCAATGGCCGCCGCAGCCGGCGCGCTGCAGCCAGTGCACAGCACTGATCCGATGGCAGGAGCCAGGTACTTATCCTGGTCTCCCATGGGGTGCAGGGCCCAAGGACTTAGGCCATCCTCCACTGCACTCCCAGGCCACAGCAGAGAGCTGGCCTGGAAGAGGGGCAACCGGGACAGAATCCGGCGCCCCAACTCGGACTAGAACCCGGTGTGCCGGCGCCGCAGGCAGAGGATTAGCCTACTGAGCTGCGGCACCGGCCCCAAGGGGCATCGTAACCACCTCCCCATGCACCTGCCGACTCCCGAGATATTGACGGCTGCCCTTTGTCCTTGCTGAAGTGTCGTCCTCAGGCAGTCAGCTCAGTGAGCCTGGGCCTTCACACACTAGTCTGAAAAAGCAGAGACTGGAAGCCAACTGTGGCCTTTTGCAGAGCTGAGCAGGTCACACTAGGAGGCGGTCACCGCGCCAGGCCTGCCCCCAGCCCAGGCCCCTCATACACTGCCCAGCACTTGGGGCCAGCCCTGTCCCTCTGTCTCTGAGCCTGCAGGTGGTAAGAAGAGCACCCTCGATTCCGGTCCTGACAGCACATGCGTGTTTCACTGGCTGAGCCAAGATGGCAGACAGGAAGTGTGGAGCTCAGGGAGGTCACGCCCACGGCCAGTGCTCAGGCCTCCTGTGTCTGCTGGGGGAAGAGCCACTCTGGAGCCCAGCAAAACCATTCCTGCTCTCCCACGGACCTGCACCTGCCTAGCGGGCACCCTGCTCTCCTCTGCCCACAACCCTGGCTTTAGATGCTCCAGCATCTGGCTCAGCACAGAGACTCTAAAACATGCCAGGGAGCCAGGAATGGGGGCATCAGACTCAGAACATCCAGGTCACCGCCACCTGGCCAGGTGTCCCCCTGGGTCCTGCGGAATGTCACGGCTGGGAGGGCCCCTGGCAGTGTCATGGTTTTCACTTTACCGAATCTCAGGGTGGGGAAAGTGGCTGATCCAAGCTCACAAACCAATAAATAGCTAAAGCAAGCCTGGAAGACAGGAGCCTTGGCTAAGCACTGGGCTACGCTGCCTCTGACCAACTGGGGGCTGGCCCTGTGGGTGCCTGTCATCCCACGATGGCAACACAACGCTCCACATTCTTCCCTCCTAAACTCCCCGGGAGGTAGAGCATTGGAAACAAATCCCTTCCATCGCTTCTGTCTCTCAGCTTCAGGGCAGGTTCGTGGTGACTTGGGGTCAGCAGAGCCATTTCTCTGTCACCCCCAGGCCCACTGAGCCTAGCCCTCCCCAAGCCCTGAGTGCCCTTCCCCCAACCTTCCCCAATCCCCCACCCCACCCCACCCCCCCCGCACAGTGCCCAGGCATGGACCTTAGGCACCTGTCCCAACAGTGCCTCTGCTGAACTTGAAGCCACAAATGGCCCCGAGAACCTGAAGGGATGGTGTGTTAGGAGGCAAGGTGCCAGGTGAAGCCCCCTAGTGGGAGTCACCTTGGGCAGATGGCTGGAAGTTTCCTTAAAACAGAGTAGAACCCCAGCCACAGCCTGGCCAGGCCTGATTGAGCTTGATGACAAGAGATGCTCAGGATGCCATGGCAACACTGTTACAATAAATGGCTCCAGAGGCTTGGTGCCAGCCTTCCTGTTTTGCCCTTCTCTTTTTTTCTCACCTGTTATTATTACCCTGGGCTCTCCTTCAGGCCAACCAAACCAGAAGGAATGGGGAGGAGACAGTCTCTGCAGGTCCAGAGAAGTGCAGAGAAACTCTGCATAGTCCTTGTGCACACCCCCCGCCTCCTGTGGACCACACACAAGCTCTCAGAGGCGCACATGCACGTGTATCCACACGCAAACACACAAAAGTGCTCTGGTACACGTGTGAGCAAATGCAGATACTTGCACGTGTGCAATGCACACATATGTACATGCCTGTGCACCCATGTGTTTGTGTACACGCACACTAATGCACACACACACATATACACCCCTATTCACACCTACCCACACTCCCCTCACATCTCCAATGGGCACCCTCCAGCCCGCAGGAAAGCTGAGTCCACCCTGTTCTCTTTGTGTGAGTGGCCAAAAAAATCAGTCTTAGGGCTCCACCTACAGGCAAGGAGTGGACTCAAGGTAGAACCCAAAACTGGGTGGGATAACTGGGCCTCAAACCCCACACTAGCATCCCCACCCCCTACCAAAAAGGCTTTCCTATGAAGAAGAAAACCCATTCAAAGCACCATAGAGTGTCTACATGTAACTGCTGCCTGCCACCCCTGGCTTCAGTAGGCTGACTTTGAGCCCTGGAGTAGACATAAATGGTGGGTAGAAAGCTCAACACAAGAACCAGTAGGCAGGAGCTGGCACTGTGGCATAGCAGGTAAAGCCACCGCCTGCAGTGCCAGCATCCCATAGGGGCACCGGTTCAAGTTCTGGCTACTCTATTTCCGATCCAGCTATGGCCTGGGAAAGCAGTAGAAGACGGCCCAAGTCCTTGGACCCCTGCATCCATGTGGGAGACCCAGAAGAAGCTCCCGGCTCCTGGCTTTGGATTGGCACAGTTCTGGTTATCTTGGCTATTTGGGGAGTGAACCAGCCGATAGAAGATTTCTCTCTCTCTCTCTCTCTCTCTCTCTCTCTCTCTCTCTCTGCCTCTGCCTTTCTGTAATACTGCCTAACAAATAATTAAATCTTAAAAAAAAAAGAGGGGGCCGAGTCCAGGCAGCCCCATCGTGGAAACCCTGTGTGATTTTCCTCGGGACTGCAAGGAGAGTTTGCTCAGTGGGGAACGAAGGCGGCAGGGCAGGGTAAATGTTTGCGTGTGGGGCCCACACCTCCCAGGTGGCTCACCTCTTGTGCCTTCTGTCTCCACCCTGGGCAACAGTTCTGGCAGCACAGCGAGTGGCTGGATGTGGTCATTGATGACCGACTACCCACCTTCAGGGGCCGCTTGGTTTTCCTGCACTCCGCGGAGCACCGTGAGTTCTGGGGCGCATTGCTGGAAAAGGCCTACGCCAAGTGAGTACCAGCATCCCCTTTGCGAAAGCCTGGCCGCCACTCCCCCCATGTCCCAGACAGCTCTCTACCGGGGTGGGGTGGGGGGGGACCAAGGCTCTGAGTGAGCAGGTGAGACCCACTGGGGCCTGCCTTCGCGGGACCTGGATAGGGTTGCTGATGGGAAGAACAGCTTTCCTCTTATGGCCTAGGTGTGCCCGTGGGTGCAGGGGCCGCACACGTCCCCTTCACCTCCCTGAGTCACGTTTCTTGCCTTTGGGGACCTGGTGGAAGGATAGTTGGGAGTGCACGTGGCAGGCAGTTGTGGCTGTGCCAGCAATGCTTGGTTCTTCCCACTTCCCATGAGACACTGCCACGGCTCAAACATGTGGACTATTACCCATCATCCTTCTTTTGGAATTCTTGGGTAAAAACTCAGGTCCACACAAACACCTTCACATGAATGCCTACAGTGCTGTTACTCATGGCTGCAAAAAACTGGAAGCAAAAGATGAATGGGTAAACTATAGTACATTTATTCAATGGAATACTCTTCAAAGATAAGCAGAAATGAACCTCAAATGCATGTCGCTAAGAAAGAAAGAAGTCAGCCTGGAAAGGCTGCATACCATATGAGCCCAAACACATGACATGCTGGAAAAGGCAAACCTATGAAGACAGCAAACAGATCAATGGTTGCCAAGGTTTGGGGGCAGGGGAGGGGAAGTGGCGGGAGGAGGAGCAGGTGGAACACAGCTGTTGCCAGTTCCTTACAGCAGTGAAACTATTCTGTATGATACTGTAGAGGTGGTCACATGATAATAGGCGTTTACCAAATCTGAAGAATTTTATAGCATGGCGAGTGGACGTCAGCTAGGAGGGTGCGGAGTCGTAGGATGAAACGCAGGCTGTGACAGACGACCTAACTGTATTACAAACATGAAGCAACCTCACCGAGGGGAAGGGAGAGCGGAAGGGAGAGAAAGATGCGGACCTGTGTAGCTCTGGAAAGGAGCGGAGTCTGTAAGGTCACTAGTGAAAGAAATCGTACACAAAATCATCTCTCAGAGACTGCAAGAGAGCAGCCCTGCCACAATTACATGTGCATCCCAAACAGTACAATCGAAGAAATGGTGGCAGATGGTGGGATCCAGGTTTCTCAGAGTTGGAATGGGAGGCTCAAGATAACCAGGAGGTGGTGGCCAGAACGATCCATTTGTTAATGGGTGAGAACTGAGGAGTCCACGATGAACTTGGACTGACCTTGATAGAGACCGTACATACCTGTATACACATGGCTTGCTGTACACACTCATTGGATACTCCTCTATTTGTCAACTGAGAAGACCTAGAAGTAACGGTAACCCATAGCAACAGCACACCTACTTCCCAAACCTTAGTTCTCCAGGGAAAGGGACCAGGGCTCCTCGGAGATAAGGCTTGTTCCAGGACTGGGGCAGGAGGTGCACTAAATAAACTCAGCATCTTGCAGTGCCTTAAAGTGAGAACACATACACTCACACACACACAACTGCACACACACACACACACATCCCACACAGTCACACACACACAAACACTGCAGGCAACTAAAGGGACTTCCAATAACCAAAGTTAGAGCAGAACAAAAATTTTTTTTAAATTACTTCTTTATTTTAAAGGCAGATTTACAGAGAGAGGGAGGGAGAGACACACAGAGAGAGAGAGAGATCTTCAGTCCACTGGTTCACTCCCCAGATGGTCCAGCTGAAGCCTGGAGCCAGAAACTTCCTCCAGGTCTCCACTGTGGGTGCAGGGGCCCAGACACTTGGGCCACCCTCTGCTGCTTTCCCAGGCCATTAGCAGGGAGCTGGATCAGAAATGGAACAGCTGATATTTTAACTGGCATTGCAGGCAGTGGCTTCAGTCAGCTGTGCCACAACGCGGGCCCCAACAGCAGAACAATTTGACTAAGAGAATAAACAAAATGGTATTGGATTATAAAGCAAAAAAACAGCAAGTATCTATGAGTCTATATTGATTTTAATAAGTGATTGAATAAATAAATGGGAGCGAAAAAAATCTCCCATGCAGAATAATTCCAAATAAATTGTGTTTATATTCCACACACTTGATCTTAGCCAAAAGGTCAAGAAGCGATATTTATATTCCAACCACACGAAGTAAAGCTAACTCCACGCTGCTGAGACGTGCGTGGCACGTGGTGACTTCCTTCCTATGAGCAGGATGGCAAGCAGGGGGAGGAGCTGCTTTTCACGGGGAACCGCACATCCATAATGCATGCAGGTGACCGGGGCCAGCATCAGCAGTGGTCAGTCATGGTGACAGCGTGTGTCCTTGAGATGACGTCATGAGGACGTCTTACCTCCATAGCCTTCTTCCCCAAAACCGGTGTGAAAAGCATCAGGTATATTCCAAGAGGGAGGTATGCGACAAAATACCCGACCAGGATTCCCAAACCTATCAGCGTCCTCAAAAACAAGGAAAATCCGAGCCATCGTCACAGCCAAGAGGAGCCCCTGTGGCCTGGGTGGGATCCCGGAGCGGGAAAAGGACGTGGGGTAAAAACCAAGAGGCTCTGAAGAAACCGTGGCTTCAAGCAGCAACAGCCAACAGAATCAGTCATTGTGGCGGCGCTGGGGGACTCAGGTGGTGGTGGGAACACCACACACTTGTCTATAAGCTCTAAGTTGAGACTTTCATTTCAGTATTCAAGCAGAGGATGTCAGATATCCCATATTCATAAAAGAGATGGCCATGGCTACATGAGTCCAGAGAAGAGGGGTCAGGTCCTCGACGTTCCGGGCGCACATCCTTCTAACACTGCCATGGTGGGCCCCACCTCGGAGAGAGGTCAGAGAGAGAGGCACACATTCAAACTGGGGCGGGGGGCTCAACTCTCACCCCGCTGCAGATAAGAGACTTGAGGCATCAAGGAAGCAACAGGCCCTTGCTCCTGGAGCGCGTTAGTGCCTGATTCCTACACCCCAGCCTAACCACGTCCCAGGACACCGTTCTGGCTTAGAAAAACTGGCTGAGGGGTGCCCCCTGGTGGCCTCGCCGCTTCCCTGCTGCAGCCGCCATGCTTCTGTCTTTGCAGGCTGAATGGGAGCTACGAAGCTCTGAAGGGTGGCAGCACCATCGAGGCCATGGAGGACTTCACTGGGGGTGTGGCAGAGAACTTCCTAACTAAAGAGGCCCCGGAGAATTTCTATGAGATTCTGGAGAAGGCCTTGAAGAGGGGCTCCCTGATGGGCTGCTCCATTGATGTAAGTCTAAGTCCTGCTGGCTTTCATTCCAGGTTGTACAGGGCTGCAGGAGTCCCGGCCCCTTGAAAGGAGGGGTGTAACCATTGTGGGGAGGGGTCAGTGTTTATTTCTTTTTCATTAAAACATATGTTCTTATTTAATATTTTTCAAATCACACAGGTAGGATACACTTGCTCTATCAGGTGGAATAATCCCAAGACATACAAAGGCACATTGTGCCTCTCTCTCCCCATCATTTCCTGTGTCTCTCTCCCCACCACTTCCTGTGCTCCCTTCTCCAGTCCTACCACCCTACCACAAGACCATGGCCACCTGGCCTGTACCCTTCACACATTCTCTCTCTCTCTCTTTTAATATTTTTATTTATTTATTTGAAAGTCAGAGTTACACAGAGAGAGAAGGAGAGGCAGAGAGAGAGAGGTCTTCCATCTGCTGTTCACTCCCCAATTGGCTGCAAAGGCTGGAGCTACACTGATCCCAAGCCAGGAGCCAGGAGCTTCTTCCGGGTCTGCCACACAGTGCAGGGGCCCAAGGACTTGGGCCGTCTTCCACTGCTTTTCCAGGCCATAGAAGAGAGCTGGATTGGAAATGGAGCAGCCGGGACTCAAACCGGCGTCCATATGGGATGCCAGCACTGCAGGCAGCAGCTTTACTCATTATATCATGGCACTGGCCCCCATATCTCTCTCTTGTTCCTCAAACAGGCACACTTGTCTACACACAAACACGGGAGTAAGTTGCTTTGATTTTACTAAAATGGAATTTTACTATATAGTTTTCTCAAACTTGGGGTTTTTTAAATCTCATACACTGTGAAAAAACATCTCGTCACTTGACAGACATCTAACAGCAGTTTTCTTATTACTGCATGCATATATATGTACAAATTTACCTCATTATGTTTTTTTGTTTGTTGTTTGTTTGTTTTGACAGGCAGAGTGGACAGTGAGAGAGAGAGAGACAGAGAGAAAGGTCTTCCTTTGCCGTTGGTTCACCCTCCAATGGCCGCCGCGGCCAGCGCACCGCGCTGATCTGATGGCAGGAGCCAGGTACTTCTCCTGGTCTCCCATGGGGTGCAGGGCCCAAGGACTTGGGCCATCCTCCACTGCACACCCGGGCCACAGCAGAGAGCTGGCCTGGAAGAGAGGCAACCGGGACAGAATCTGGTGCCCCGACCGGGACTATAACCCGGTGTGCCGGCACCGCAAGGCGGAGGATTAGCCTAGTGAGCCGCGGCGCCAGCCCTCATCTGTATTTTTAAAATTTATTCCTTTTTTTGAGTTTTTAACCAAATTCTTCGTTTCCTCTGCATTTTCAAGTTTGTGACACACAGTCACACGTCACGTGTTACATACGTCTTAGTATCTCTAATGTGTGTGATTGCGTCCTCTCTCTCCTGCTCTACCACGTGACAGTAATGGTCATGTTGTTCTGTGTGGGGAGTCCCTGCTACCATTGAGGGTTTGCATGCTCTAGAAAGAGACTGGTCTTGCTCTCACTAATAACCATCCAAGAGATGTCCTGTGTGTCCAATGTACATGGCGCGTGCATGTGGCCAACATGGGGGGGGGCAGGAGGGGCTGGTGATGTGACGGGCGGGGCATGGCACTGACTCTGGGGAGGCTTGTCTTCGATAGTGGGTCTGACACTGCTCTTCTCCTGTTTTAGACCAGAAATGCTACAGAATCAGAAGCCCGGACACCTTTTGGTCTTATTAAGGGTCACGCCTACACTATAACAGGGATTGATCAGGTGGGTGATGTGAACCCCTACTGTCGGGTACAGGGAAAGACCTGACAGTGCCGGTCCCTCATGCATGAACTAGCGCATAGCGGTCTAAACTGACTTTGATACATTTTGGGAACTGTCACCTTTGAAGGAGGCAGGCTGGATTCAACATAGCAATCCAGGAGAGAGAGGGGAGAGAGGGGAGAGAGGAGAGAGAGAAAGAGAGGGAGAGGAACCATGTAATATCACCATGGCACCAAACTTCTTTAGCAGGTGTGGAAGCCTGGTGCTCATTTCTTTCTCATAGTTCTTTTTTTCCCCCAGTTCCGTGTCAGTCTGGGGTTACTCAGGATTCTCCAGAGACAGAAACAGCACTAATAGGTTTGTTGGATGGACTTGCAATTATGGAGGCTGGAAAGTGCCGTGATCTGGCCCCTGTAAGCTAGAGGCCCAGAAAAGCCCATTGCTTAATTCTAGTCTGAGTCGGAAGTGAAGGTCTGAGAACCAGGAAAGTCAGGGATGTGTCTCTCCCTCAGGGCCAGCAAAGACTCAGGTCCCGGCTCCAACAGTCGGGCATACCGTGAATTCTCCCAGCCTCTGCCTTTTTGTTCTGTTCACGTCCTCAGTGAGTGGCAAGAGGCCCATCCACGCTGGAGGACGGTCTACCTTACTCAGGCTGCCGATTGAGATCCAGTCTCATCTAGGAACACCCTCACAAACAGGACCAGAGAAATTGTTAAACAAATGTATAGGCACACCAGGGCCTAGTCTGGTTGACACATGAAATGAACCATCACAACTCCCATTCTCCACAGCTGTCATCTAGGGGAGAACCGATCCCTGGGGCCACCCAGACCCCCACAGCACCACCCTGGTTTCTAGTGAGTGCTGCATTGGGAGGGCAGGAGGGAGAGAGTAGGGGAGAGAATGTGTTGCAAGAGGAAGACAGAACCGGAGTTTTCCCCAGCCCTCCCAGCTGAAGCTCGGCACACCCCAGTCCAGAGGCTGCCGTCGCCCAGCCCGTGGCCCTCCTGGCTGAGTCTTGAACTCTGTGGAGGACTCAGGTGCTTCTGTTCTGTCACAGCTCACGTGTGGGGTAGCACATTCTGTAAGTGTGGGCAGTAAGGGGCCCGACTCGGAGCTGGATTCTCTGAGATGGAAGGAGTTACTTGTGCTGCTTCCTCTTGTCCTACAGCCCTGTGCATACAGGCCTTGCCACACTCCCTTGAGAAGGCATGCGACTTTCAGTTAGATCTCTAAAACGCTGCTCCAAGTAGCAACAGAGATCTCCTTTCATCTTGGCTCAATTGCTTTTCTTCCCTTCCACCTCCAAGGAACCGACCTTCCCTGCACATTTCAAATCCATGAGCCTCCTAAATGGTGAACTACAAGCCGTATCTTGGGCTCTGGGGAGCTGACATTATTTGAATTATTTTTAGACATTGGAAATACAACTGACACCAAGGGCAAGAGGACAAAGCTTTATGATAGCGGAAGTTTCTGATCAGTTGGTGGGTAGAAATCTTTCATTTCCCCAAAATCTTTCTCAAATGTATTGACCCTCTTTCCTGCTCCAGGGCAGAGCATAAAGGCATGACTGAATCGTCTCTCTTTCTTGGTTCAGGGGTTATCAATGCCAAGAGCAAGAACCCTTACATGACACCTGAAAAGGTGGAATATTGGGTTTAGAAGAAAAAAAGCCTTCTTTGGTTTTGCTGTTATTTAAATCCTTATTTTATGATTTACTTGAAAGGCAGAGTTATGGAAGGCAGAGAAGGAGGGGCAGAGAGAGTCTTCCATCTGCTGGTTCACTCCCTGAGTGGCCACAAGGGCTAACACTCGCTAGGCCTGGCTGAAGCCAGAAGCCTGGAACTCCATCTGGGTCTCCCAGGTGGGTGGGAGGGGGCCAAGTACCTGAGCCATCTTCTGCTGCTTTCCCAGGCACATTAGCCGGGAGTGGATTGGAAGCGGAGCAGCTGAAACTCAACTGGCGCCCCAATGGGATGAACCCGCACTCCTGTGTAGGGTGATACCTCCCGTGTAGGCTGTCACAAGCCGCAGCTTATTCTGCTACAGCACAGCGCCAGCCCTGAGGGCAACTCTACCACCCACAGTGCTAGAAGCCAGGGACGCTCCAACTAATGAGACTTGGAGATTCTAGTCTAGAGGAAAAGACTCATTCATGTGAAGATGTACATGAACTAATGTCCAAACTCTGGGTCCCACGTGTGGCAAAACCATTCTGAAGTGATGCATGTGGTATCGTTGGCCGTGCTGGGTATTAGGGTGGGTGCTGGGTATATCGGTGGGTATTAGGAAACCCAAGGGTCCGTTAAGAATTGACAAGCTTTTATCTCTTTCCAGAGCTGTGCTAGCTCTGGCGTCCAGCGGTGAAGGTAGCACATCTCCACTGGATTGGTCATTTCCCGTTTCCTCATGCCTTTCCCTTCTAGGTAAACTTCCGAGGCCAGAAAGTGGAGCTCATCAGAGTCCGGAACCCCTGGGGCCATGTGGAGTGGAACGGGTCCTGGAGTGACAGGTCAGTCACGCTAGGCTGTCTCTCTGCCAGGTTTCCAGAGTGTGTGGGGCCAGGGCTGGCTCCAGTGGCCGTGTGAAGGAGGCGTGGCTTGTCTACAATTCTCCCTGGACTCCTATTCAGGGTCCTGCCCCGCTTCCTGGGTTGTGACCAGCCCTCCAGGCACGCTCCGCCATTGCCAGCCTCCAGCCCCCGAGACAGCTGAACCAACAGGGCCTGCCATTCTTGGGCTGCAAACTTCCAAACTGTGAGCCAAGGCGGCTTCCTTCCCTCCTACCTAGCATCTTTGGGGTGTACTTGATAGTGATGAGAAACTGACTCATGGTTCTTAGTCCCACTGTCCTGATCCTGGCACGAGCCACCTGGAGGGAGGCCCCTGCTAAGTCCTCCCCTTGGACTTCCTGTGCCCACCACCCCTCGCCACCGCTGCAGGTTCAGTCCAGGTCTGCAGGGTGGAGATGAAGCTGCCACCATGATTCCAGCAGCACCTAATTCCCACCTATCTGTGATTTCCATCCCTGCTGCTTCAGCTACCTGTAGTTAGTCGCAGTCTGAAAACACAGTGTTAAACAGAAAATCAGAGAAATAAACAATCCAGACGTTTTCGATGGAGTTCTCAGAGGTGTGCTGAAATCCTACACTGGCCTGCTTTGTCTCCCGCTTTGTCCTACACCTCCACACTGCAGACAGTACCCACCCATTTGTCCGCTGTGGTCTCAAAATACTTGTGTTCAAGGAAGCCTGATTTGACTCGATAATGACTCCAAAACACAGGAGTAGTGATGCTGACAATTTGGATGTGCCAGAGAGACACCATAAGGTGCCTCCTTTAAGTGAAAAGGTAAAACTTCTCAAGTTACTAAGGAAGGGGGAAACATTGAGTTCTGAGGTTGCTAAGGTTTACATATAGGGATACATTTAGAGAGATAGAGAAGCCACAGTCAATACATCTTTCATAAGAGTGTATCGTTATAACTATCCTATTTTATTATTAGTTACTATTGCGAATCCCCCTCTGGGCCTAATTCATAAATTAAACTTTATCGCTGGTGTGGATGTATAGGAAAACACATAGTCTCTGTAGGGTTTGATGTGGTTCAAAATTTCCAGTACTCACTGGGGCTGTTGGACCCTATCCCACACAGATAAGAGGGGGGTCCCTGTATTTGGAGGCAGCTTTGGGGAATTAAAAAAAAAAAAAACACAGCGGCCTTGGAGCGTGATCTCTGCGTTTGCAGGGTGGTGGGCGGCTGCTCCCTCACCAGCTGTCCCCTGAGAGCTTGTCCATGGCTCCACCCCGCCCCTCCGTTGTCCCTCGAGGTCCACCTCATGGAATCCTGACTTCCTAGTGAGGGCACGTCAGGAACGTGCTTGGTACATAACGGGGCAAGCATGGAGAACCACAAGGTGGTTGCTGAAGCGTCAGCCCATAAACCGAGCCGTCCAGCACTGCGCAAGGCCACATAAATGCCGGAGTCCAAGAACAAGAGCCTGTCAATCCGTGGCTCCCGACGGGGCTCTTCTGCACCCCCCTTACCATTCTACTGTGATTGTCAGCACAGTCTTCCATGGGGGAAGTTCAACCGGCCCCAAGGGATTGTCCCCCATCAACTCTGGGACGTGTACCTCCTGCGCAGCCCTCGTGTCTGACCAACCTGTGCACCCCTGGTGCATTTCGGGGACCCGTGAGTAGGACTTGTCCCCCACAGAACCTCATGCCGTGCACCCAGCGAGGGGCCATCCTCCACTCCAGGACTGCTGTCACGGCCTCAGCCTGAACCCGATTCTGTTTGCTCCCAGCTCTCCCGAGTGGCGCTCCGTTGACCTGGATGAACAAAAGCGCCTGTGTCACATGACTCTGGACGACGGGGAGTTCTGGTGCGGTACTCGTCTCTGTTTCCATTTCTGTGTTAACCGCCTAACAGGTGTGAGTGTGCCCCAAGGTCCTGGAATAGGAAGCACCATTCTCCTTCTTCCTCCCTCCCTCCCTTCCTTCCTCCCTAAGTCAAGAATCTCAAACCCCCTCACACCTATTCCAGTTGGCATGAAAATTACTCTCAGTGATGTCTGTCGGGTTTATTTAAGGGTCCCAGGGAGTCAGTGCCATCAGAAGACAGGTCAGAGCCACTGACCTGCAGTCCGACCTCCCTCCCCTGAGCTCCCCATCCTCCAAGTTTGCACAGTGAATTTGAGGTTGCACAGCTGTGCTGCCAGCGAGGACTGCTCCCCACCGTGCCCAGCACACGGACAGAGGCCCTCGAAGGCAGCAACCCCACGAGCCTCTCAAATAGAAGCCTGAGCATTCCTACTCCTACTCTGGACTGTCTCTTCATCTACCTGAACACCATTAGTGGGCCTCCACTCCTGGCCTATTTTGTCCATCTTGGTTCTTCCTGTTTGGGAGCCAGAAGCTCGTCCCATGCAGTTCTGTTTCTGGCTTTATTCCGTTTCGTGTGCTCCAGGTCGATTCTTGCCTGAGCTCATCTCTTGCTAGTAGCCTTTTTGAAGTACAAAAGCAAAGCCATGACACGCTGGTGTTCCTCCGCAGGCGTCTGTTCTCCCCTTGTTTTCATGGTTGCCTTAGTCCGCTCGGGGCCGCGCGTATGCTAGACCACCGTGCACTGGGCTTTCTGAAGGACGCACATGTATTCCTCCTGGTTCTGGGGGCTGGGGTGCCCCAGATCACGACCGGGGGAGCTTCAGCGTCTGGTGGGCGATTGCTCTGCTTTACAGGTGGCGCCCTCTGGGAGCGCCCTCTCCTGGTGGAGGCAGCGAGCACTGATCTTTCTCAAAGGCTCTGACCCCACTCAAGAGGGTTCCACCCTCGTGACTTAACGGTTCCCAAAGACCCCGCTTCCTATCACACTGTGGTGACGAGGGGCGGTGGGTGCGGGAAATGCAAGGGCAGGACTTAGCAGGGGCCTCCCTCCAGGTGGCTCATGCCAGGACCAGGGCAGTGGGACTACCTGTGTCCCTGAGGTCTGCTCTCATCATCGCAGCTATGGATCTTCTCAGGGTCACAGCCCAAATCCTTACACCTCCTGACCTGCCCCTGCCCAGCCCTATCCCTTACCGATGCCGGATGCCAGCTTCATTGGCCTCCTTGGGATGCCAGGAGCACCTCAGGCACCTACCTGCCTCAGGATCTTGCTTCCCATTGCCCCAGCCTCAGTGCGTCAGGGCTCCATGTAACACAAACCTGCTCAGCAAGGCCTTCCCTGACCCCCCTGTTTAAAACTGCACCCAACCCCTACACGCCCACCCTCCAGACTGACTTTAGTCTCCTCTGCAGCACTTAGACACAGTCAACCGGTATTTTTCCACCTTGAATTTCCTTTTGTTGGTGCTGTCTTTGTATTTTCTGTCTCCCTGGACCTTGAGGCCAGCAGTCAGATGACTGAGTGAGTGAGGGAGCGGATGACGCAGTCAGCGTGGGCCTTCTGCACACTGTGTCTCCCTACCTTGTTGCAGGATGGCGTTCAAGGATTTCAAGGTCCACTTTGACAAAGTGGAGATCTGCAATCTCACTCCAGACGCCCTGGAGGAGGACGCTCTGCACAAGTGGGAGGTGATTGTCCATCAAGGAAGCTGGGTTAGGGGCTCCACAGCTGGGGGCTGTCGCAATTTCCTGGGTGAGTCATCTGCCTGTCACTCTGTCATTCCTAAGTGTCCTGTCCAACCCAGGGACGTCAAAGGATCAGGGCCAGGAACGAGAAAGCCTGAAACATGAGTTAGACAGTAAGATTCCAGGGCTGACCCAGAGAAGAGGGCTGTAGAGATTTAGTAGGAGTAACAAGTGCTCAGGCAAACTCCTTTGTTTTACCACTGAAGTTATTTTCCATTAGGAGAAATAGAAAAGCACGATTCACATCAGCCTAACAGTAGAAAGGATTTACTGTCCTATGTAGCTGAAAAGCTCACAGCAGTAGTGCAGGCTTCAGGCGCAGTTCTATCAGGGCTCTGAGTCCCTCTGTAATTCCCCACTCTCCCCTCGTCCTCTGTCTGGCTTTCTTTATAATCACAAGAGAACAGCCAGAAACATCCAGGGCTTCCTGAGTTCTCATTCATATGCACAGCGAGAGCTACTGGGGGCAACATCAAAGAAAAAAATCCTCTAACTGGAAATTTCTGGAACCAATATTGCCTGGTGAATGGCATGAGCTGATTGGCTTTGTTCAAATTCTCTTCAGCAAGAAAGACTTGGAGAACCAGTGTTCATCCCTGAGCTGGGAGTGAGCTCAAACTCACTCACATTGCACAACCAATAAAGGGATACCAGGGGACAACCACAGGTTCCCCACACCCTGCTTTGTTATGCCCAAGGGGGAACATAGAATAAACTTCAGCCGAAGAATGTCATTGCAAAGCCGCGTGAGGAGCGGCTGAGAGACCGTGGACTCCGCCTTCTCACTGGGGGTCATGGAAAGTAGGGTAGGAGTGCTGCTGAGGGCAGGAGAGAAGATGCTGTTTTCTCCAGGCCGGAAGGATCTGGCCACAGGCGATGGGGGAGTGTGTGTGTGTGTCCATGTGTGCGTGCATATCCTTTTGGTTTTTGTTTTCAAGGAAGAAAAACTAATCTGTCTCTTTCAAATGGCAGATACTTTTTGGACCAATCCACAAATCAGACTGTCCTTGACTGAGACAGACGAGGGGCAAGAGGAATGCACTTTCCTTGTAGCCCTCATGCAGAAAGATCGAAGGAAACTTAAGAGACTGGGCGCCGACGTGCTGACCATCGGCTACGCCATTTACCAGGTAAGCGGGAGTCCGAGGGCGCTCAGCCTCTCCCACCCGAGTTCTCCATTCTCAGCCGAGACTCGCTGGCCAGTCTCCTCCTGGCCTGGAAAGCCCAGCCTGACGGCCCTCCCTAGCGTCCCCTCCCCCTGCTTTCATTGCAGAGCCCTGGCAGAGAGGGACACCTGGACAAAGACTTCTTCAAATACCACGCTTCCCAGGCCAGGAGCAAAACGTTCATCAACCTGCGAGAGGTCTCCGGCCGCTTCAGGCTGCCCCCTGGGGACTACATCCTGATCCCCAGCACTTTCGAGCCCCATCAGGAGGCTGATTTCTGTCTGAGAATCTTCTCGGAGAAGAAAGCCATTACCCGGTGAGGATCGGGAGCGGGTGCCAGGATCCCTTTTCCTGAAGTGGCTCCTTCCTCCAGAAGCCACCAGGGGACTGCTGGAGCCAAGGCCCTGTGGCTTCTTCCCTTCTACTTAAGAAACAAGGCAGCTTCTTGGGGCCGGCGCTGTGGCACAGCAGGTAGAGCTGCCGCCTGCAGTGCTGGCATCCTATATGGGCGCCAGTTCGAGTCCCGGCTGCTCCACTTCCAATCCAGCTCTCTGCTATGGCCTGGGAAAACAATAAAAGATGGCCCAGGCCCTTGGGCCCCTGCAACCACATGGGAGACCCAGAAGAAGCTCCAGGCTCCTGGCTTTGGATCAGCACAAGTCCAGCCAGTGTGGCATTTGAGGAGTGAACCAGCGGATGGAAGACCTCTCTCTCTCTCTCTCTCTCTCTCTCTCTCTCTGCCTCTCTGAAACTCTGCCTTTCAAATAAATAAATAAATCTTTAAAAACAAACCAACAAGGCAGCTTCTCAGTTCACTTTGCAAAGAGAGAGAGAGAGAGATCTTCTATCTGAAGTAGCAGAGGACGAGTCAGGCTGAAGCCAGGAGCCGGCAAATCAATGTGCGTCTCCCATTTTCCCATTTTGGTGGCAATGACCCAAGTACTTGAGCCATCCTCTGCTGCCTCCCAGGGTGTGCATTAATAGGAAGCTGAATCAGAAGCGGAGCTGGAACTGGAAGCCAGGCACTCCGGATATGTGGGGGTCCTAAGCAGGATTTTAACCACTTTGCCAAATGCCCACTCCAAGTCTCTACTATTCTTCAAAAGACTTCACCAATAGCTCTTGTTAAAGTGCATCAAGGAAACAGGCTGATGGTTTCGCTTTTTACTCAAGGTTCAGAACCTGCAAGTTCTCCTTGGGCAATGGCCATCCTTGCTCCCCCGTTACCAGCATACTGGGCAGAGTCCGAGTGTTTGGGGTAGCTGTTGACATGTGGGGTCTGCAGACGTTGTGATGTGCAAACAGCACTGAACAAGCAGGGCTTCCATGGAACGTGACCGTTCAGTAGCTCCGGACCCCTTAGCTGTGCAGATCCCAACGAGGAGTCATGCGCACTGAGGCAGTATGTTTTCTGCCCCTACAGGGATGTGGATGGAAACGTAGGCATTGACCTCCCTGAGGTGAGTCTGCTGAGGCTGCCGCAGAGGGTGGGATCCATCTGGTGACTGGAGACCCTCCTTCTACCATGGTGTCATTTAAAGCTGAGGTCCAGGGGGTGGTTATCTGCCATCAGGTGAGCTTCTAGGACTCTAACCTCTTGGGGGCCAAGATGTGTGCTTTGAACTCCCTCAAATCCCCAAGCAGGCATGGAATGAGCTAGGTGCTCAGTATCAAATTCAATTTGGGTCATCTTTCTCTGTACTACTAACTCTACCTGAGAGGTGGCTGCTGCTTCAGAAGATGATAAAAACATGGATTTTACTTAAGAAAAATAACCCATAAAAAGAAAATGAGAGGCAGGTAGATTCTTTTACTGTGTCCTTGGGGGAACACATTGCTTCTCCCTACAGTCTCAGTGTGTGTGTGTGTGTGTGTGTGTGTGTGTGTGCTGGCAAGGGGTGATGTGTGTTGATTTTATCCTTGTCAAAGAGCTATAGACTTTTTAAGAATTTGTTAAAGATTTATTTATTTATTTGAGAGGTAGAGTTATAGACAGAGAAAGGGAGAGACAGAGAGAGAGAGAGAGAGAGAGAGGTTTTCCATCTGCTGGTTCACTCCCCATTTGGCTGCAGTGGCGGGAGCTGTGCCAATCTGAAGCCAAGAGCTTCTTCCATGTCTCCCGTAAGAATGCAGAGGCCCAAACACTTGGGTCACCCTCCACTGTTTTCCCAGGCCATAAACAGAGAACTAGAAGGGAAGAGGAGCAGCCAGGACTAGAACTGGCACTATATGGGATGCCGGCACTACAGGCAGAGGCTTAACCCACTATGCCATAGTGCCAGCCCAAGAACTACAGACTCTGAAGAGGCACTAAGGCATCCAGGATCTGCCGAGATCTGCTCTGAGGAGGGAAGTCGCTGCTCTGTGCTGCCAGAAAAGTAAAAAGCAAAGCCACTCAACATGTTTGCTGGGCTCCCAGCATGCACAGGACTAAGGCTTGGTGCTAGAAACAGACTCGTTGCCTGAAAGATTTTACCATCTATCAATACAGATGATGAAACAAGTAACTCCAGGCCAGGGGGATGAGTGGTTAAGACAGACAAAGTGCAGGAAGCCCGATCACCCCAAGGCAGGGGCCCAGCTCAATCTGGGGCCAGCTTCCTTCAGCCTACTCGTCTGTGCTGAATAAAATTTATGGGAGGTCTTAGTTTGTACTGAGCTCCTACTCCAAGCCCATCAAACCAAACCAAACGGAAGTCACTCATCCATGGCACCAAACTAAAGCTAAGTTGTTTATCTGAGGAACCAGGGGCCCACGTTGTGGCACGGCCGGTTAAGCCAATCCATTGGCGTCCCATATTGAAGTGCCTAGTTCAAGTCCCAGCTGCTCTGCTCCTGATCTAGCTTCCTGCTAGGGTACCTGGGAAAGTAGTGCAAGATCACCCAAGTCCCTGGGCCCCTGCCTCCCACTGGGAGACCCAGATGGAGTTCCTGGCTCCTTGCTTCAGCCTGGAACAGCCCCAGCTATTCTAGCTGTTGGACGAGTGAACTAGCTGATGGAAGATCTCTGCGTCTCCCTCCTTCTGTCTCTCTGTCACTCTGCCTTTCAGGTAAATAAAATAAATCTTTGGAAAAAAAAAAAAAAGAGAGAGAGAGAGAGAGAGAGAGAGAAACCACAAGCAAATGCCCCAAGAGGCCAGTGTCAGCCAGTGTGATTAAGGAAGTGGTCTCTGCTTTTCTGTTTTGTTTTGTTTTGTTTTGTTTTGTTTTGTTTTACAGGCAGAGTGGACAGTGAGAGAGAGAGAGACAGAGAGAAAGGTCTTCCTTTTGCTGTTGGTTCACCCTCCAGTGGCCACTGCACTGTGGCCGGCGCACCGCGCTGATTTGAGGCCAGGAGCCAGGTGCTTCTCCTGGTCTCTCATGCGGGTGCAGGGTCCAAGTACTTTGGCCATCCTCCACTGCACTCCCAGGCCTGGACTGGAAGAGGGGCAACCGGGACAGAATCCGGCGCCCCAACCGGGACTAGAACCCAGGATGCCGGTGCAGGCGGAGGATTAGCCTAGTGAGCTGTGGTCTCTACTTTAACCCTTACAAGCAAGCACTAGGCAGTGTGCTTGCTTGCATGGTGCTGTTTCCTAGCCTGCTCAAGCTGCCTGGTATAAACCCACCGCTCTGCCATGCCCAGCAGAGCTCCTTCTGTGCTGTATAGCCAGGGCGCTGCCTGCCTCATGCATCGCTAAGAAAAGCCAGCTAGACCTTTCAGCTCCATTTGCTGGAATTTTGCCTTTGGACATCTGCAAAGCAGGAGGGCTCAGTGAGTCACAAAGTCCTTCCAGACTTGCATTCTAAAGAACCCTCCCAAGGAGTGAAGGCTGCCACTCCCCATGCTGCAGGCAGTGGCCTGGCGGCTGGGCATGGGAGGGCTCCCTCAGGGGCAGCGCCATCTCCAGCCAGCAGTTTTTTTGCCCCCTGCTATTTCTTTGGGAAAGCTGATGTCACTCCCTTTTTTGTGGGTCCTTTCACGCAAGACCCTTTGGTTATTTTTCAGCCTCCAAAGCCAACTCCGCCTGGCCAAGAGACGGAAGAGGAGCAGCAGTTCCGGGCCCTGTTTGAGAAAGTTGCTGGCGAGGTAAGACACCTCCAGGCCTGGTCTCCCCCTCGGGCTGATGGCCTGGGCCTGGCTTCCCAGCAGAGGTCGGGACCCATCAGCAATGCCTCCTGGAGGTGAGATAGGGTTGGCTGCCAAGTGACACCAGGCCAGGTCACTCGAGGCCTAAAGACTGCCTTGTCCACAACATGTCGGATACCAGTCTGCCTCTGTTGATGGGACGAGAGAGTCCAAAGTGCTCAGAACTTTTTTTGAGAGGCTGGAGAAAACCTTGAAGAGGGGCCTTTGAGCTCTGTCCAGAAATCACTGCCATCAGAATGCTCTGGACTCTGGTTCAAGACAGTGAGGACCACCATGAAATTGCAAGTGCAGTGCGTCTCTTCTGCTTCCCGCCATTGGTCCCTCACCCCCTTCCAAGCCTTCTCAACTGCTCAGCTTCCACGATGGGGGCCTTGAGGAGGGACTCCCACAATTTAGGGTCTTCCTGCCTTGAGTGGAGGGACGAGGTCTTACTCCTAGAAACTGCCCCTTCTCTTTTTTTTTTTTTTTTTTTTAAGATTTATTTATTTTACTTGAAAGTCAGAGTTAGAGAGAGGCAGAGGCAGAGAGAGAGAAAGGTCTTCCGTCCGCTGGTTCATTCCCCAAATGGCAGCAACAGCCAGAGCGGGGCCGATCCAAAGCCAAGAGTTAGAGTTTCTTCCAGATCTCCCACATGGGTGCAGGGGCCCAAGGACTTAAGCCATCTTTCACTGCTTTCCCAGGCCATAGCAGAGAGCCGGATTGGAAGTGGAGCAGCCAGGACTTAACTAGCACCCTTATGGGATGCCGGCACTGCAGGCAGCGGCTTTACCTGCTACACCACAGCGCCTGCCTGAAACTGCCTCTTCTAACAGTTGAAAGCATGTCAAGGTGCTAATGGCTATATTAGCTCCTCCATCTCTGCCCAAGGCTCCTGAATTATGCAAAGGGCTTCCTGGAGGGGTGAAACCTACACCTGGGAGATAAATCTCAGACAATAGCCCCTTGGGCCCTGCAGTAATCAAGCAGTACAGGGAGACTTGGTGACCACTGGATCAACACTTGCTGGCCAGGCTGAACATTCCAAGCCCCCGTTGCCCAGGTGCAGGAGCTTCAGGGACAGAGTGACATAACACGGGGGGCTGAGCACCTGGACAAAAGGACATCAAATTCCCTTGCATGTGAAATTCACCTGGGTGTCCTGGAGAACAGCAGATGGCTGCAGTGGGGCTGGGTGGGGCCCCATTTCTAGCACTTCTGGAGCTGGGGAAGCAAGTTTTCGTCAACTGCCTTAGGGTGATGATTCTGAAATTCACCCCCACTTCCAAGAATGTTTCTTGTCCTCAGGAAAGTTGGGCAAGCTCAGAACTGGTAGAAACTAACCGGAAAGGGGTAAGGGGCCATAATGAGCACCTGTCTCCATCTCCACAGGACATGGAAGTGACAGCAGAGGAGCTTGAATATGTTTTAAATGCTGTGCTGGAAAAGAGTAAGTGCTGCCCCCTTACGAGCCCCAGAGTCCCTGTGGAGGGGGTGACATTGGCTGGGTTCCCTCTAGCTCCCCGACTCTCACTGCTCCTCAGAGCCCCAGACCCACTTTCCAGGGCTGACTTGCAGGGGGACTTCAAACATAACTTTCACTGTTGATTTCCTGATTACAAAAATGATGTGGGTTTATGGTCTAGATTTCAAAACACAGAAAAGCCTAATGATAAAGATAAAAATCACCACACTCTCACCACCCAGAAATAGCCATGTGTGCATGTCTATGCCTGTGTGGGTCTGTATATGGAGGTACATGTATGTAATCTCTGTGTGTGCCATGGGTGCAGAATCTATTTCAGATCATTTTCATTACCCTATATCCATTCATCATCACCCTCCATTTTCCCCATCCTCCTCCTCACTCCTAGAAACCACCAATCTCTTCTGTTTTTATAACTTTATGTATTCTTACAAGTTTCATATAAAAGGAAGCACACACTGGATTTTCAAGGTTCATCAATGCTATAGCATGTATCAGCACTTCATGCTTTTTTATAGCCAGGTAATATTCCATCGTTTGGGTGGACCCCATTTTATTTATTCATTGGTCAGTTAATGGACATTTGAGTTGTTTTTTGTTTTCATGAATAATACTGCTGGGAAGATTCGTGAGCAAGTTTTTTGGGTGGGCATTTGTTTTCATTTCTCTTGAGTGTATCATTCAGAGAATGACTGAGTCCACTCTAGAATGACTGATTACACTGTAGGCTTAATAATTTAAGGGACTGCCCGACGGTTCTCCAAAGTGACTATTTTACACTTCTGCCAGCAGTGTACGAGTGTTCATACCTCTGCCACAATTGTAAGTCCTGCCTTTAAATGTCATTTTTGCAAGTATTTCCCCAAGTCATTAAATGTGCTTTGAAAACATGGTTCATCAGGATTATGTAATGTTCCATCATATGAGCATAGAGTAATTTATTGACCATACCCTTCTATTGGTCATTTAGATTATTTCTAAGTTTTTGCCATTATAACTAACCTGATGGTAAAAATACTCATGTCATTCCACACTTTTAAAATTTTTTATTGACACATAATAATTGTGCATACTTATGGAATACAGTGCTATTTTAATACATGTATAATGAGATCACGTTAGGGTAATTGATATATCCATACTTCAAACATCTATCGTTTCTCTGTTGATCGGGATTCTTAAAGTTAGAACAAATGCATGAAATAGTATTCTCATTTTTAGGGCCTTCTTCACGTTCAGCAAAGTTTTTTTGTTTGTTTGTTTGTTTGTTTGTTTGTTTTTTTGACAGGCAGAGTGGACAGTGAGAGAGAGAGACAGAGAGAAAGGTCTTCCTTTGCCGTTGGTTCACCCTCCAATGGCCGCTGCGGCTGGTGCGCTGCGGCTCACACACCACGCTGATTCGATGGCAGGAGCCAGGTGCTTCTCCTGGTCTCCCATGGGGTGTAGGGCCCAAGCACTTGGCCCTACTCCACTGCACTCCCTGGCCACAGCAGAGAGCTGGCCTGGAAGAGGGGCAACCGGGACAGAATCCGGTGCCCCGACCGGGACTAGAACCCTGTGTGCCGGCGCCGCTAGGCGGAGGATTAGCCTAGTGAGCCGCGGCGCCGGCTCAAAGTTGCTTTTTGAAAGGTCATGTCACCTACTCTTACCGGCATCATAAGAAAATGCCTACCTCGTGGCCCCCGTCCGCTTGGATCTAGATACACTGTTGGGCTCTCAGCAGAGTTGTCTGATTAGGGGTCAAATGAGTGACGCTTTCTTGTGTGATTTCAGAGAAGGACATCAAAGTCAAGAAGCTGAGCCTGATCTCCTGCAAAAACATCATTTCCCTAATGGATGTATCCTTCCGAATACTTGAGCAGAAGTAGCTATTGATCCTGGGCTACTGCTTCTGCATCGTGCACTTTCTGGGACTGTAACATCCTGAAGCAAGATGTCTGTGTGTCTTCACACAATGCACGAAGACCTGGCGAGCCCGGGCTAGAATCGGATCAGATCCAGGAAGCACAGGACTGTCCAGTGGGAGGAGGGTTCACGAAGGAACTTGGGGATCTTGTGGCCACATGGGAGTCCCCTCCGTGGGAACCAAGGGTTTTTGTTTTGTGGTTTTTCGAACCTTCACGCACCACCCCATGTCACCCCTGCCATCCTTTTTCAGGGATTCATGGTTCAATCTTGATGTCCACATCCCTAGGGGCCCCGATCTGAGTCACTCATGCTGCCTGGAGCAGTGCCTTACACACACACACACACACACACACACACCCCAAGTCCCAGAGCTGAGGTCCCTCAAGGAGTCCCAGGCTGAAACGCCACCTACCCCCTTAACCTACCTGGCGCAGAGCAGTGGCAACGGGAAGCTGGAGTTCAATGAATTCAAAGTGTTCTGGAACAAGCTGAAGCAGTGGATTGTGAGTAACCCGTTGCAGAGCCTGGCCTGGAAGGGGAGAAGGGAAGACATCATGTATTCCCAGTGCTAATGGAAGCACCATACTGCTTCCTCCGCAAATAAAAAGGAAGAGGGCACAGCCTGACCATTGCTTCGGCGGCCCCTGGGGTGGTGGGGGAATCTGTCCTCTTGGGCAGGCTGGCTCTCACCCCGTCACTGCCATCTACGTCACCCTTGGGGTGCTCTTGTTCTCAGTGCCTCTGCTCTCCTCCCTGCAGGACCTGTTCCTTCGGTTTGATGCTGACAGATCGGGCACCATGTCCTCCTACGAGCTGCGGACTGCACTGAAAGCTGCAGGTGAGGGTCGTCTGGGCCCTGAAGGCAGGGCCGGCAGAGGCTCACGTGTGGTTCCCTCCCGGAGAGACCACAGTTCTGGAAACGCTTCCAACTTGGTGGTCCGACCAAGGGGTCGAATGCACGCAGCGAGGACCAGCCGGGATGCTTCCTACAGAGAAGGGCCAAGATGAGTTATAAGAGTGGAATGTGCCACAGCTGAAAGGGGTGCCTGGTTTTCTTAGGGGCTGGAGGGATGAGCGGGGGAGGCAGTCTGTTTGTTTGTTTTTTTTTTTTGGATTTATTTACTTATTTGAAAGGCAGAATTAAGACAGAGAGAGGGAAAGACAGAGAGAGAGGTCTTCTTCCATCTGCTGGCTCACTCCCCAGTTGGCCACAATGGCCAGAGCTGGGCCAATCCAAAGCCAGGAGCCAGGAGCTTCCCTCTGGGTCTCCCACATGGGTGCAGAGGCCCACGGACTTGGGCCATCTTCTACTGCTTTCCCAGACCATCAGCAGGGAGCTGGATCGGAAGTGGAGCAGCCAGGACTTGAACCAGTGCCCATATGGGATTCCGGCACCAAAGGCGGATGCTTAACCTACTACACCACAACGCCAGCCCCAGGGTCATTCTTTAGAGAGGAGGGACATGACCATGTCTTTCCTGTCCTCACTTGGTGTGGAGGAGGAGTTGTCTCCCCTCTGCTCCTTCATCCCCCTGAGGGACAGATGCCAAGATTCTGGCCAAGACCAGCAACCAGCCCCACTGTACTCCAGTCTGCCTGGGCTCTTCTGTGGCTGGAACTGGGAAGAAGAGGCAAAGAAGCCCTGGTTATACTTCTCACCAATCCGGTGAATGCTTCCTGGGAAGGTTGCTCCTAAGAGCCCTGAGTAGAAATCCAAGTACTAAATAGAAGATCTAGAAGGAACTCAGCTGACAAACGAGGAAGCCAAAGTGCAGCAAGGTGAAGCCGAGGGTTCACAACTAGAACAGCACCGGCCTCAAACCCAGGCCTCCCGGCCCCAGCCCAACACTCTCACTCCCATGGGGACTTGAGCCCGTGGGGCAGTGTCCTCCGCTGTGGGCAGCAGTGGCCCCTCAGAAACACATTTCTGGGCCCCCCAACTCCTTTGAGTTCAAATGTCCTTGCGAAACTGACTTGGTGCAGGTGCCACAGCTGGAATCCTCCAAGGCCCAGAAGGGGGCTCAGACCCAGAACAGGAGGGGAGGTGGTGCAGGAGTGAGGGTGGGACTCTCACAGCATCCGGCATCATGTTCCCCCAGAGAAAGCTTCCCTTCACATAGCAAGACCCTTTGCCGGACGTTGGCAGCAAAATCCAGATGGCGCATTCGTGAAACTCTGGCGCCGTTCAAGTACACCTGCCTGCGAGCTCCCCTGCGTTCCGGGGTAGACACACACCCTCCCACGGCGTCCAGACCCAGCACAGGGGCCCACCGGGTCTGGGCACTCATGCTCCGCTGGCTGGGACACAGACTCCCTTTCGTCAGAATGGCAGGGCCCAGGTCTCCTCATCCTGTCCCCTCCCCAGGCTTCCAGCTGGGCAGTCACGTCCTGCAGCTGGTCGTCCTCCGGTACGCAGACGAGGAGCTCCAGCTGGACTTCGATGACTTCCTCAACTGCCTGGTCCGGCTGGAGAACGCAAGCCGTGAGTGTCCCCGGGCCCCAGGGGGAGCTCGCAGCAGGGTGCCTTCCATCACCTCCCGAGAGCATCTAGCAAAGAGCCTGGCAAAAATTGCAGCAAGGACAGAGCACCGAGAGGCGTCATCTGATCCACTCGGCCAACCGCGAGGGTGGGGTTGGCCGAGGGGCAGAGCGTGCGAGTTGTCTCTGCAACCCATTCTTCATACGTGGGAACTTCAGAACCTTCATGGACAAGCGAATTAAGAGATAAGTTTGTTTGCGTGCAACTTGAAATCTATGCATAGATTCTTCATAATACTCATTTTCTAGGAATCCCTCATATGCACGGATTTCAAATTTTTTGCACCAAAATAAAGTTATCTTTTAATTCCATTTTTCTATTACCTTTTTGAAGTCCCTTCAAATATGCACGTTCTCTCTGCAGAGGATTGCAGGTGGGTGGTGTTTGTGCTTCACATGTGAGCCAAGGTCAAATCCCATCACAGGATGTGGAAGCAGCAGATTCTCAGTCTCTCCTTCCCTCCCTGCCTTCTCCTCCCCCTTCCCTCTACCTCTGTAAGCCCTAGACATTGACCCACTTATCTCCAGCAAAGTCTCTGATGTCTATAACAGAGAGAGAATAGGTGTAGGTGCTCTTTGGAGTTTGCGTTTAATCCTCGTATCTGCCAGAACTGTACAAGGTGCTTGAAAGACGCGAGTGAGTGCGCCCAGAGCCTGTCACTCAGCCCCAGGGAGACTGCAAGTCTTGCTATCTGTGCAGGGGCAAAGGAACCTGTGCTTGCTTTAATGCTCTGGTGTTGCCACCTTGAAAGTCTTCTTAAGTTTTGAGCTAGGGGCCCTGCATTTCCACTGGACACCGGGCCCTATAAATTGGTAACAAGTCCTGCTGGGGATTTCCTAAAATCTGTCTGATAGGCAACTTCAAGGCACTTGGTAAAGCAAGGCAGGGCCTGTGATCCTCGACAACACAGTGTAACCATGTGAGAACTCCCTGGAATTCTTTGGTGACCAAACACTGTGATGACTGGCTCGAAGCATGTCTCCACTAGACTGTCAGCCTTGGGAGAGTCATGGGTAGTCAGTGAGTACATGTTGACAAACACGTGATGGACCAGAGAGGCAAGCAGACCCCCAAAGGGCTTTGTCTGTCAACCCAGGAGGCTGGGCTTTCTCCAGGTGGCTGCTGGTAGCTGGCCAGAGTTGCATTCTCGAAAGACCTCCCCTGAAAAAGAATCATTTGGATGCACCAAGTGGTCAAAGCAGATCCTAGCAATGAGATTTGAAAGCTCTTTTGTCAACTACTCTTACCCTTTCTTATTTTTTAAGCTTTATTTATGTATTTGAAATGCAGAGTTGCAGAGACAGAGAGAGAGAGACAGAGAGAGAGAGAGACAGAGGAAGAGCTAGTTCTTCCACCCACTGGTTCACTCCCCAAACGGCCACAACAGCCAGAGCTGGGCCGATCCAAAGTCACGAGCCAGGAGCCTCCTCTGGGTCTCCCTCATTGGGTGCAGGGGCCCATGCATATGGGCCATCCCCTGGCCCTCCAAGGCCACCAACATGGAACTGGGTCAGAAGTGGAGCAGCCAGAATTGAACCAGCACCCATATGGGATGCCGGTGCCGCAGGAGCTGGTTTTACCCACTGTGCCGTGGCGCTGGCCCCAACTCCTTCCTTTTCTAAATCTCCTCAGGTCTAATTGTTGCCAGCACGGGTGTCCAGGTTGTGCTCTTGCTGGAGGAATATTAGGGAGAATAGTAACTCATTCTGTTCTGGAATCCTCATACCACAGTTCCGGATTCACCCACAGAACTTTTCAAACTGCCAAGGCTGCTGGGTGATTAAGACACTGCGTGGGACACCCACATCCCATACTGGAGTGCCTGGGTTCCGGTGTGGCTCTGCGTCCAATCCAGCTTCCTGCTAGTGCAGTGATGGCTCTAGTACTTGGGTCCCTGCCACCCTCACCTAGATCTAGATTGAGTTCTGGGATCCTGGCTTCAGGTTGGCTGAGCTCCAGCTTTTGCAGGCATTTGGGGAGTGAACCAGTGGATGGGAGATTTCTGTCCGTTTCTCCCTCTCTCTCTCTCTGTGTGTGTGTGTGTGTTCTCCTTGAGATTCAAATGAGTGAAATAAATAAAATGTTTTAAACTACCAAGAAATTTTCAATCACCCACTGAAATACAAATAATAATTTCCCATGAGCCCCATGGGCTCCACAGCAGCGCCTCCCCAATGCTGCTACCCGTTGCAGTTTTAAGTGTGCGCTGTGATGATGAGGCTGAGAGCACACTGCTTGAATCAGAGGCAGCAGACAGCATCAGGATTCCGAAAGACTCCCAGGGGGCTTCAGACCTCCACCCGCAGCCTCGGGAACTGTCTCCTTACTGACTGGTTTTTGTTTCCCCCACCCTGGAGCATTTAGTAACAATTCCCAGAAATCCTGCACTTTCGTCTGTAAGTATCTTGAACTGCTGCTTGTTTTTAGCAGAATTGTCACGTCATTCGCACACCTAACAAAGTTCCCAGGAAATCCTCAGCGCCATCCAGTGCCCAGTCAAGGTCGTCCTCTTCCAGCTTTGTGGTTGACTTGGGATCCAAACTAGGTCCACTCACTGCATGTGGCTGGCGGGTCTCCGTTGTTTTAGGACAGCCCGCCTCCCCCTTCCTGATGTGCTCTTGATTGGCAGGTGGAGCCAAGGGTGGTTGGCTCTACCTCTTCCTAAGAAGGCTGAGGCCCAGACAGGAAAGCACTTTGTCTAGCTTACCTGAGGCATAGACCCCGTGCCCAGCTCGGCCCTGACCCACTCCTCACCTGGCTCATCCACAGCCCCTGCCCAACAGGGACTCCTGGAGAGACACTGAACCGTGCTCAGTCTCCTGCAGAACTTGATGTGCGCGTGCTTTTCTCTGGGGTCCGTGGGTTCCCAGGGACCTGTTACACCGAGAGGTTAAGACTGGGGAGATGTGTGGCCCCAGGAGCTGGGACACTGAGTGGCGCACTGCTGGTGACAGCTCGGCTACCACTCTCGGGACCACCGGCTTCCGCAGGACAGCGAGAAGCTTCGCCCGGTGGAGCTAACTGTCCGGCCTGCCTCTCCGGAACAATCCCTGTTTGCCACCAGAGGGAGCAGCTCCCTCGCAGGCTCCACAGAAGGGCCCTTTGGTCACTGGGCAACAAACCTGACCAAGGAATTTTGTCTACAATGATGCCTTCTCGTGTCTGTCCTCCCAGGGGTGTTCCAGGCTCTCAGTACGAAGAACAAGGAGTTCATTCATCTCAATATAAACGAGGTATGGCCAAGCCAGATCTGCCGTGCAGGGACCTTGCCAGGGCCCGGCAGAGTCCACCCTGCACAAACGCTTGCTGAGTGCGTGGTTTCGTGTGCGGGGGTAACACTTAGCTGTGGGGGTGATCCCAATAATGAAACAGCTAATGCTTTGGTGGTGTTACGCATAATCACTCCAATAATCCTGAGAGCGAAGCACCCTGGTATCCCTATTTCACAGAGCTGGAAACTGAGGCAGAGACAAATCAAATCAGGTGGGCTCCTCAGCCTGCCTGCTTTCTGGCTTCCAACTTGCTCACTCCCCTTGCTCATGTTGCCCTGTGGTTCCCGCAGTGTGTGTGTGTGTGTGCGCACGTGTGCACCGGAACCCTGTGAAATGCCGGTGATGATGGTGGGGCTGGGAGAGCATGGGTCCGAGTTCCAGAGCCGTGGAGGAAGGACTTCAGTGCCAGGGCATTTCAGCGGTCCTCTCTCCTGCCGCTCAGAGCGTGGTCTGTGGGCCAGCTGCCTGGGCATCGCCTCCGGGAGCTTGACAGAAGTGCAGAGTCCCAGGCGCTGCCCCAGACCGACTCCATCACGAGCTGGTTTTCACAGGATCCCCAGGCGTTACAGTCTGAGGACACTGGGGACACAAGGCAGACTGCAGCACTTTCCCTCTGTGATTTCTGTGGTGGGGTTTCCCTTCCGTTTCTGCAAGGACAAGAAGTGAGGAAGGAAGTCCCACTCTGTCCACCGGCCACAGAACCTGCTGCTCTTCCTGCAGCCCCTCTGTGATGTAGGGTCGCCTTCCTCCCACCCCCGCCCGGGGAGGCCGCCCCGCGCCAGAGGAGAACGGTTTCTGCCCACAGTGCCCCAGAGAGGCTGTCCTGTTGACAAGGAGAAAGCAGTTCCACCTCTCTCTGTCCCACCCTCTGTGCTTCATGCGCGTTCAATCAGAAAGGATCTCTGGACAATTTCAAGTGAGGAAAATTCATTTACTCTAAGCACACGCACACACACACACACACACAGAGAGCTTCCTGTTGAGGCAGGAATCCAGGCTTGTAGCGAAAATGACCAGAGAGCAGAGCTCCTATGGCCTAATCAAACTGGGACCACTCCTGTGCCTGGTAAGGGTGTGGAATAACGAAAGCCCTCATTTCTCTCTCTCTCTCTCCCCTCTGTTTCTGTTTCTTTTATTCCTAGTTCATCAACTTGACAATGAACATCTAAGGCTCTCCTGCTGTGGATACAGCCTGCCCAGCTGCGTCTTGGCTTTTGGAGCACGAACTTCAGAACTGCCACGGCCGCAGAGCTGTCAGTCATGTCCAAGGCTCTCCCTGCCCTGTCGTCCAGCTCTCCCCTCCCGCACATTGATCTGGGAAGAATGACACAGATTCAGCTCCATTCTCTGGTTTGCACTACTTCCTTGTACGATCACTGCCTTAGGGTAATGGATGGGACTCCTTGCCCCTTGCAGCCAGCTAGCATTTCCTCCCTCTGCTCCCCCTACCTTTGCCTGCTAATAATTATTCAAAGCTCCAGTCCCTGGAATCCTGGCTTCAATGTAGCTTCAATCATCAGATTCAGATAGTCTCTATAAGATGATGTTTTCCTAAACATGCGTGTGCGGAATTGGATGAGAAGGTCAAGGTGTGAGGTCTTAGCTAAGCATTTTCTACATCGCTATGTGTGTCTCCTCATGGGGCAGACATCAGAGTATTCTAGCCTCTAATAAAAGTGGATCAACATGAAAATCTCTACCTCTTCCTCCTCCAAGAGCTGGTAATTAAGACAGTCCATCCGGTCCAGACAGCCTTTGTGTCCAAAGCTTTGCATGAGAAGACAAATGCTTTGTGCCTCACTTTGGCTTTCTGGCACCAAATGGGAACTCTCACTGAATTAGAATAATGGGAAGCAGCATAATAAAAAATAGTATGCGTAAACACTGGCTCTCTCTTCTTGTGGCAGGTGAGGTGCAAGATGAGGGCCAGGAGATGACAAGAGGGCTGTGGGGGAAAGACTGGAAGGAAGGGCAAGTTAGCAGTGAAGCTTCCCAATAACCTGGTCTCCTACTCTGGCTAACGAAGCTGGGGCACCATGGTTTCTTCCTTCCTTTCCCAACCATTTCCTGGGCTTCCCAGCAGTGAACACAGGACAGGAGCAGTCCTAGGATCAGGCCCTGAGGGGGAGCACACCAGGACGGCCACGTGCCCGCCACCTCTTATGCTTGCTCTGTGCCCGCTCCCATGGGCTCATGCTGCCGCCATACTGCGTGTTAAATGTTGTGACTGTGAACCCTGCTCAGAGATGAAACTTGCAGGGGTCCTCACTGCCGGAGCCCCTTCTCCTACTGTTCTCTCTGCGGCGTACTTTGAGGTCGTTATGTCCACAAGCACACAGCCGTTTCTCGCCTGATTTTTCCAGGACTGGAAGGGCACATGCTGGTGTTTGTGAGGAGGGCATCCTGCTTCCCCTTCCAGCTGTGTGTCCCTGGGAAACTTGTTAACGTCTCTAAGACTTAATTTCCTCAACTCTGCAGGGATCTTGCGGTGAATATTCAGTCGTGAGCAGAAATCACCTGTCACAGTGCTTGACCCAGAACAGACACTCACTACCTAAGGCTCATTCTCTTTTCTCATTCCCTGCAAAAGCCAGTGTTTTTCTAAATACCTGAAAGAGTCAGCTCCTATCAAATGCATTTGCTTTACCTCTGTTCTTCATTGCGGGAACGTAAGGGTTATAGAAGAGTCAGTTCTGAGCTCTCGATGGGGTTAGGTGGACAGACTCATGATTGTGAGCCCAGAACCACGAGGAAGAGTGTGCGTGCAGCTTCTCTTTCTGAATTCTACGGTCTGATAAGTGATACCCACAAGCCAACGAAGATGTTTCACATGCATGAGTTTGACTGACTGTAATTAGAGTTATTTTACAATTTATCACTCAAACCAAAAGCCTCTAGGTGTAATAAGAGTGATGTTAATTATTACAGCAGGAGAGCAGATGTGAACTGGAACTTTCTTTGGAAAGTGAGGATTTATAGCCCCCCTAATTACACCCATCATCACCTGTGTGACATACGCTTGAGGTGTTGCTACACCCAAAATTCATGCCCTGCTATCTCTAAATTCAGCATAGTATAAATGAGCTGCCAAGCAACTGATAACATTTCTTATTGCACAAGATCACATGAGACACGAAAAGATACCTGGGCACATCAGAGTTGAATTGTTCAAAGGAAAAGAGAAAAAGTGACATGAGAAAAATAACATTATCTACAGGAAGCAACAATAATGCAATCGAAGTGATTTCTCATCAGAAATAATGGATGATAGAGGCAGTCATACAAAAGGTCAAAAGAAAAACACATTCAGGAATTTTGTTTTTCCAGCAAAATCACAAAAATGGAGGAACAATAAAGATATTTTCAGATAAACGAAGCCTGGGAGATTGACTAGGATCATATCTGTCGCTGAAAAAATATGAGGGGATTTCCTTCGGGGTAAAAGGCCCTGGATGATAATGTGAACCTTCAGAAAGAAATAAGCTCTGGAAATGTGTGTAAATATAAAACGCTGATCATTTTTTCTGGGGACCAGCGCTGTGGCTCAGGGGTTAAGCTGCGACCTGCAGCACCAACATCCCATATGGGTGCCGGTTTGGGTCCCGGCTGCTCCACTTCCAATACAGCTCCATGCTAATGCACCTGGGGAAGCAATGGAGGATGGCCCAGGTCCTTGGGGCCTGCACCTACATGGGAGACCCAGAAGAAGATCCTGGCTTCTGGCTTCAGCCTGGCCCAATCCTTGCCATTTCAGCCACTTGGGAAGTGAACCAGCAGATGGAACATCTCTCTCTGTCTCTTCTCTCTCTTTCTCTCTCTCTCTAACTCTACCTTTCAAATAAATAAGTACATCTTTTTTTTTAAAGATTCATTTATTTACTTGAAAGTCAGAGTTATACAGAGAAAGAAGGAGCAGAGGGGGAAGAGAGAGAGAGAGAGAGATCTTACATCCAATGGTTCACTCCCCAGTTAGCCACAATGGCCGGAGCCGTGCTGATCCAAAGCCAGGAGCCAGAAGCTTCTTCTGGGTCTCCCAGGTAGGTGCAGGGGTCCAAGGACTTGGGCCATCTTCTACTGCTTTCCCATGCCATAACAGAGAGCTAGATCGGAAGTGGAGCAGCCAGGAATCGAACTAGCGCCAATAGGGGATGCTGGCACTAAAGGTGGCAGCTTTACCTGCTATGTCACAGCGCCAGCCCCAATAAGTAAATCTTTAAAAGAAAAATAAAATTTTTTTCTCTTTTATTCTGCTAACTTTGTAAAATATAGGAGATTATGTAAAGCAGTTGTATTTTTAACAGACAATGAGATGTATGATAATAGCTCAAAGCAAACAGAGGGAACAAAGTTGTATTGGAGCAATATTTCAATATTTTATTGGGATTAAATCAGTATTGGAACAAATAGGACTTAGTTCCCCAAATTCACACAGACCTTTAAACCCCAAAGTCCTATGTTAACAATCAATTAATGCTAATGAGTGACTACTTAGGGTTGGCATTTGATTTAATTATGAATGCAAGCAGGTTCGCCCAGTGAGTACTTGCCCTTGGAAGACAGTTCCCATGAAAGGGTTGGTTATTGCAGCCAAGTTTAACCTCGTCTCTTTCTGGGCTTCCTGGATTACCACGTGATCAGTCCTCTGCACATACACATCCACCACTGCCAGCCTCCATCAGATGCCAGACTAATAAGGTCTCCTGACCTTGGACTATGAACCTCCACATTTTAAGCCAAAATATTTTCCTTTCCAACAAGCTCCTCTTAAGTATTTTAGTTAAAGTGGCAAAAAGCTGACCAATACAGATGGTGACAAATTAGCCTACAGAGCAACCACTATGAAAATGTAACTCAAAAATACAGAGCTGAGAAATCAAAACAGTATATTTAAAAACTATTTGGCAGGCCAGTGTTAATCCACCACCTGTGTTGCTGGCATCTCATATGAGTGTTGGTCCAAGTTGCAGCTGCTGCACTTCTGAACCAGCTCCTTGCTAATGCACCTAGGAAAACAGCAGCATACATCCCTAATGCTTGGGCCCCTGCCACTCACATGGGAGACCCAGACAGAGTTCCAAGATCTGACTTTGGTTTGGCTCAGCCCTGGCCTTTATGTGCAGTTGAAGAGTGAACCTGCAGATGAAAGATATCTCTCTCGCTTTCTCCCTCTTTCTGTAAACTCTCCCTTTCAAATAAAGAAACCTTTGGGGAAAGAGGGAGAGAGAGAAATTAAACCCAAGAAAGCAAAAGAAAAGAACTAAAGAAAACAGAAGAGTATAGAGCAAATCAAGTAAGTAAAAAGTTTGTTCTTAGAAAAGATTAACAAAATTAATAAGGTTTTAGCTAATCTGATACAAAAATAGAAAAGATACAAGCTAACAAAAATCAGGAATGTTAAGAGGACATCAACTTAACACCAACAAACTAGACTTAGATGAAATGGAAAATTCCTAGAAGGAAATTGCCAAAATTGATTAAGAAGAAACTGAGAAGCCTGAATAGACCTGTAACAAGAAAAGAAACTTAAATAATAGTTTGAAAAATCTTCCCATGAACAAAACCCCAGGCCCAGATAATTCCACTGGTAAATTCCATGTAGTAGTTAAGGAAGAAATAATATTAACCTTACAAAGCTACTTTAGAGGGCCGGCGCCGCGGCTCACTAGGCTAATCCTCCGCCTGCGGCGCCAGCACACCGGGTTCTAGTCCCGGTCGGGGCACCGGATTCTGTCCCGGTTGCCCCTCTTCCAGGCCAGCTCTCTGCTATGGCCTGGGAGTGCAGTGGAGGATGGCCCAAGTGCTTGGGTCCTGCACCCCATGGGAGACCAGGAAAAGCACCTGGCTCCTGGCTTCAGATCAGTGCGATACGCTGGCCACAACGCACCTGCCGCGGCGGCCATTGGAGGGTGAACCAACGGCAAAAAGGAAGACCTTTCTCTCTGTCTCTCTCTCTCTCACTGTCCACTCTGCCTGTCAAAAAAAAAAAAAAAAAGCTACTTTAGAGGAAGAGAGAAGATCTCCATTCATTCTGTGAGGCTAGTAGTGCCCTAAGAAAACCAGAGATAGACAGCAAAAGACACTACAGACCAAAGTCCCCATTTTGCAATAATTCTTAACAAACATCATCAAACAAAATCCAAAAGCACATAGGAAAGATTACACACCCTGAACAAATAAGATTTATCCCAGGAATGCAAGGTTGGTTTAACATCCAAAAATCAATGAGTACAACATGGTAACAGAATAAATGACAAAAACCTCATGACCATCTCAATAGATATAGAAAAAGTATCCAATAAAATCCAATACCTTTCATGATTAAAACTCTTTAAAGAAACTAACAATCAACAGAAGATTTCTCAATTTCATAAAGGTAATCCATGAAAAACCTATAGCTAACACCGTACTTAATGGTAAAAGACTGAATGCTTCCCCAAAGATCTGAAATAAGGCAAAGTTATCAGTGTTACCACTTCTATTCCACATCTCTAGCAGTTCTATCCCATGTATCAGGACAATAAAAAAGCAATGGAATGCACACAAATTAGAAAGGAAGAGGTTAATCTGTCTTTATTCACAAGTGTCATGAATCTGTATGCAGAAAATCTTGAAGATACTATGTAGAAACTGCACAAAGTAGGTACATGAAGAGCAAGACTGTTACATAAAGAACAAAGTACATGTTTGGTTTTAAACTTACCAAAATGCAACAATAATCAAGAGAGTATAGTTTGGGCTTAAGGAAAAAGATACAGATAAATTGAAAAGAATAAAAATCTAGAAATAAACTCTTTAAACTTTTGTCAATTGATTTGTTTACAATTGTTCAAAATTAATTCAATGGGGGAGATGATAGTATTTTTAACAAATGGTCCTGGAAT